ACAAAAAAGAATTTGAAAGGCGCCCCCCCCCCCTCATAAGATTGCACACGAATGATCTAAAATACGAACTGCTTGTGCTTTTCCAACACTTTGAATTCCAATTTGTACCGTGACCTCGTTACAAATATATTAACTTAGTAAGTTGTCATGCAAACATGTAAGAATATAAACATCAGAGTTTTACATAGGCGGACATATTTTTTTTATCATTCTAAGTACTTGCATTGAAATTGAAAGTATATCACCCATACAAAACTCCTATTCATTTATCTAGAGTCATAATGAATGAGATCTTCATCGAAAACACGCAATGCATTGACCTGTACTGCCAGCCCTACAGCTATATTCTTCTTGGGAGAGTGATGAAAAACTGAAGCCACACAACTTACGTTAGAGTCAGTTTCTAAATAAATTATCACTGGACACTTGGCAAGCGCACATAATTATATGACTTATATATATATATATAAGCTTTTGTTTTCTTCTTGTCAACAAATTAATATTGAAGAGGTTTCTACTCGTAATTTATTTTTGATTAAATTGTAAATTACATGCAAAATTTCACCCATTATGGTCAATAGAATGTCGGAGAGTTATTTCCATATTCAGAATAAATATTTTATTTTTTTGTCAATAACGATGATTGAATTGCATGATTTATCATCTGATGAATCATTTGATAGAATAATATGATCGAATGTTTGCCGTGCATCTCCAATCACTTATGTATCTCTTGATCAATGTTCAGCAAGTGATCTGAAAGTTTTCTTCGGGTAACGCGGGGACGGGGGCGGGCGGGGCGATACTGGAATCTTGTGTACACAGTTCCGAAACTGGATGAGCTATGTATTGGGAACGGACAAGCGGAACAGGAAAATTCAATGCCCCGCACATCTGTGATTCGGAGTAGCTGTGAATTTCCGAGAATCTTTCTAATCATAATAGGAACTTCGATCTATTCAAAATATATTAATTATATTGCATATAACAAAATACAAAAGATATTTTCTTACATTATGTTGATTGTGCAGAAGTCTAACAGAATCCTTGTTACACATTATAGATGAAGTGAGACTATCTTCAGACGTTTTCATTCCACTACCTGAAATTGTGACACGTTCGTCATCTGCCATACTTAATAAAGTTGCTGATGAGCAAGCGACTGTCGGTATAACATCTACACGATTCGAACTGGTGCAGCCTATACTGAAGGAAACAAATTCGTTTTCCTCTTGATTACAATCAAAACTCTCCTATAGATGTTCGCACATACGAGTGTTTAACAACTTATCGTTCTACGGCCAAGTAAAACACGAATTGTTGATTGTGTTGACGAACTTTCTTCATTTGGCGTCAATAATATGGAAGCTCTGATGGTAATTCTTCACGAACTTGCCAATCAATCTGATGCTCGTTCGGCAATTACTAATGCAGACTTCAAATACGATAATAGTACTTATCGAACTGCCTGCGGAGCGATCAATCTCCGTAGTGTTCATTCATTTTTTGCGTCTGAATGAAATTTTCAAACTGATAAATTCAATCTTAATTATAGTGACACAAGACGACCGCCTAAAACCTTGCAAAACTTTGCTTTAACACTAATTAACGATATGAGTCCTATTGATGAATGTGATATCGATTTTATTCGAGTATTTTCTGTCAAACTTGCTTCATTAATTTATGTTGAGATTAACATCACTGCGCCTTTAGTCAATAAAACAATAAGATTAGTTGAAGAAATCAAAAATCAATAGCATACGAGCTCGATAGTAGAACTTCCAGGCATTTTTCAATATATGTTTCCAGCGAAGTGCAATTCTAAACTTGAACAAGCACTTGTATGTTTACAATTAAAATAATCAGATTTTTCGATCCTCATTACAATCGAGGTTATCCTCATGCGCGTGTAGATAGAAGAGATGGCCATCCGTTTTATTTTTCACCAGGACAGTTCCGTCATGAGAGATGTTAAGATGCAGCAAAATGTGGCAACACATTGTGAAGGTGAAGCTTCCATTTATTCTAAATCGTTCAAGATAAAAGACTCTAAAGACAGAAGCAAGAATTACCAAGTTGCGTTCCAATGTCGAGTTCAACCATCAAAGTTTACAGAACATAAAAGTCCCATCAACGTTGAAATGACGTCGCGAGTGTTCGATGAGAAAGTAATTGGGCCATATGGATTACTCTTGAAAATTTCACAAACAAATAAATTGACTTTTAACTTACATGCCAAGTAGGTTTACTCTTCGGAAATCACCTATTAGTTTAACATTTAAGGGAGACAAGTTCATTTAACTAAATAAAAGTATTGTATTGATAGTTCTCCGTAGCGGCGAGGATGTTGACACTTCCTCTTTTCTGAATCATCAATATAAAAGAAAATTGAATGGCTCATCGTTGACTACAAATAAAGTAGCAGACTACTTTTTCAATTAACCCATTCAAATAAAACGACTAGAAATACTTTGAATTCTGAATCTTTCTTTAGGTTTAAATTATTTCCTATTTTCACTAGATCAAGATTATCAAAAAATAAAAAACAACAGGACAATATAATCGAGATCGAAATTAATGTTTAATTTAAACGATTTAGAGTCTCATATGACTTGCGTTTTTTTTTTTTTTAAATAATGTGGCACGCCATGCCTTCCAAGATGCATGGTTTTCATTTACAGAACACATCATGAGAAGAATGCCGTGGAATGATGACGAAACGTGATCGTTGTATCTCGGCGTCAAGCATGACTATTGTATTGCTATTTAAATAATCAAACCATATAAACTCGAGAAAAATATTTAATAAAATAGTTCATTTGAGTCAACTATGTCATTAACGCTTACACTATGTTGAACTCATAATTGCGAAAAATCGTAGATGTGAGATACACTCATCCATAAAATAATTGTAAATGACTGATGTCTACCGTTCAACTTTTTTTAATGAAAAACAAACAAACTGAGCCGTGAGACTATATAAATCATAGAAGACCATCAAAGCAAGCATTATTACGCTGCTTATCATTTTGAACACGCCGATTTCTCGTTTCACTATGGAAGAGTCGATTTCAGCAGCATCTCGAATAATTTTAGCAGTTGTTCGACCACTGCTAATATATTCTAGTTATATCTGTCTGATTTGTGGATTAATTGGTAATATGTTAAATATTATGATCTTCGGATTCTTAAAAGTATTTCGTGGCAATCCGTCTTCTTTTTACCTAATTGTAGAGTCCTTTGCGAATTGTGGTGTCCTATTGAATGTCTACGTATTACGCATATTATCGAGTCAATTCAATATCGATTTGACACGCAATTCAATTATCCTGTGTAAAATTCGAACCGTAGAGCTTGAAATAACTGTAATGGTCTCTCTAACGACAATTTGTTGTGAAGCTCTCGATCAGTATCTAGTGACTAGTCATGATATTGCTTGTCGGCAAAGCAGTACGCTAAAATTAGCTCAGCGAATGACATTGATAAATGTGGTTGCTTGGATTCTGCACAGCATTCCATTTGCAATCTTCTATGAAATATTGCCGTCGACTGGTTGTGATATTGCAAATAAATATTTTAGCTTGTACTTTTGCATCGTTTATCTTTCGTTACTCAATGGTTTAGTACCACTGGTAGTTTCGCTGGTATTCAGTGCATTTGCATATCGAAATGTACGCCGCATTATTCGACGTCAAGTCTCGCACATTCGACGACGGCTCGATCGACAAATGACAGCCATTGTTTTCAGTCGTGTTGTCCTCCTCGTTTCAGTTTCCATTCCTTTTGGTGCTTATTTACTGTATTCAATTAATGCGCCGCCAGTTACGGGAAACGCACTTCTTTCAGCTATCGATCAACTCTGTTCGGCTGTTACGAGCACTTTGTTTTATATGAATTACGCTGTGAGTGATTATATTGTTCACGCCATATCAATTCATTGATTAATTTGTTTTAGGGATCATTTTATTTGTTTCTGTTAACATCACGACGATTTCGTTCGCAAGTCAAACGTATTTTCGGGAAAAAATTTTGGAAAAGCGTTTTTTGTAAAAGACGTAGTGACACGATAGTACCATTTAATCCGACCAATCCAATCTCAAATGCCTCCAGCCGGTATTAAACTGATTTTTCAAGAGAATAGTCCTTTTTTAGTATTTTAAGAAGATGAAAAAAAAACCAATGGTATTCAAAGGTACCCTGTTTTTTTTCTCAAGAGTGAGGGCAACCTGTAAGTTTGACAAGAGATCATGCTAGTAGAATTAAAATTGTTGCGTTGCTAACTGATATCTTTATGAATCGTATGTATGAATGTCATTTGATTACTTCAATTATCGCTAACGGAGCAAATATATTTTTTGTCACAGTTTACTAGCGTGTGCCAATCTTAACTTCATTAGTCAAAACATCTACACCGTTCAGTGATCTTCAAAGCTTGCATTACGGTCTCACAGCATTCTACGTAGTCGAACAGTTTGATCTTTTGTCATGAAAAAATAATTTCTTTGTCGATAATTAAATTTATTTATATCCGAAAATTTATTTACATATCTGAATTTTACTGGAATATGTATTATAATAAGCACAATAATCATTATCATTCGATAAAAAAGAGAAGAGAAAAAAAAGGAATGGATGGAAAAAGACAGAAAGTAAAAATATCGAAAACCATCACCCTCACTCTTACACACACATTTTCAGCCGTCAATTTTGTTTTCGACATTTTTCCTTTCTGTCTTTTTCCATCATACCAAAAAAAGATCTGACATAGAGCAAGAGAAAGATCCATTGGATCTATAATATAAACAGGAAAAGAGACATTGCAAAGAATTTCAAATCGATTAAACAGCAGTTCGTTGTCGAATTCGATCCCAAAGTGGAAGAGGCAAAACATTATTATCATCATCATCATCATCACCATCCGTATTATCTGATGATGATAATTGAAATATATTATTGGTGTTTTTATTTTGTTTCTGTTTCAAAGGCTTTTTTATAAATATATCTGTTATTTCACAATTGTCATCATTAAGTTGCTGTTTTTCACGTAGGAGAATATCTAATACATCAAGCGACAATGATGTATTTAATAAAGTGACAGGCTTTTGAGCTAGGAGAAAAGAAAAAAAGATCTTCTTTGTTTTTAAACGAACTTCTGCATATTTCTTACTATGAATAACCATATCTGATTGAGTATGATGTTTAATTGGCCGGGACTTTGATTTTTTTAATGCACTTAGATTTCCAATGGATTTGTGTATTGCACTAAGAACATCAATATTAATTGATGTTGATAATGCAGCCATTGTTGGCCGATGATTAAATTTAGAAATTTTCTTTTTCGCTATTGTTTTCGTTATGGGAATTTCACATGTTTCGTTTTCAATCATACTTAAAAGGTCTAGAGACATTGACGTTGATGCTGCAACTGCTGCTGCTGATGGTTGTTTCATCTTTTTCTTCTTTATTGTTGGCTTATTCTCATTATTAAGTATTGCGGCTGCTGGTTTCCTAGGTTTTTTAGATTTCGATGCAGGTGCTTCAAATGTATTAACGATGTCAGGATAAGCATGACGAAATAGATCAGCCGGTTCAATAGTGATTAATTTTTCGTCTTCTTCATCATCAACATTATCGACTGCCATAATTGATAGATTAGCTATTTGATCTTCAACTGCTTCCATGGATGGCAGTTCATTTTTTTTCCATTCGATTTCATAATATTGTTTGGATTGCCGAATGCGAATTCTTTTTATAGAGATCGGCTGAAATTTGATTGTGTCGGATAAGGAAAGTGTATCATGAACGTCAAGTTCAAGCATATTAAGATGGTAGAGAATTTGAAAACGAGTTAATAACGGGAAAACCTTTAAAAAATGAAATATTAAATTGAGAGTTTCAACGTGTTTTATCATAGGTAATGAGACTTGTCTCTATACAAAATCTCAAGGTGTTTCTAGAAAATTTGTTGCTCACGTGCCTCAAAAACGAGTTACAACACTTTTTGATAGCAATCAGCGGAATAGTTTTCATGGCATTCCTATCGGGTGTACTTCGTTTCGAATCAAAAATTGCAGAACTATCCTTTTCAAATTTTCTGTTTCATAACTGTGAGGGTGTTTTTTTGAAAGTCATTTACCTTAATAAATGTATAAGATTCAATCCAATCCAATTTCTTTTTCATATATGATTGAAGTTCTTTCAGTTGTACTGGTTTCAACCATTTAATTGATGCTATTGATGCAACAAGAGGTAAATTATCTAATTCTAATGATGAATATTCATTGATAATTTTATCAAAATGCTTTAAATTTTTCTTATTATCTTTTAATACGTTTAAAATTTTTTGCTCATATTTATTTTGTGGATTATTGCGTAATAGAACTGTACGTATATAATCAACCGGATCCGTATTTGCTGGTATAGACTGAAGAAATTTTAAAGCATTTCCTCGGCCAATACCTTGAATACCTTGACTATCGTAATCGGAGCCAAGAATTAATGCAAGTGCAAGTAGAGAACGTTGATCAAGATGACAATTCGATTCGATTTCATGTCGATCATAAATATCAAATGAAATTGACTGAAAAACAAATCATTTTTAAAATAATTCAATATGATCTTTTTTCGACATCGTTTACCTTCATATCGATGCCGAAGTTTCGAATTATTGTCTTAGCACCATAAACAAAACAATCACTATCATTACTAATAACAACATCAACGATCTATAATATAATGAATAATAGAGAGAAAAAAAATCAACGATCAATATCTTACATTCATTCGATTTAATTGTGCACACAATTTTTCCGCTTCACCATCAGCTCGTATAATCGGTAGGCCAAGATACGTGAGTAAGTCTTTACACTATATTTCCCAACAAGAAAATTAATTATGATGACTTATCCCCAAAAAATATCGCGCTTACTTCATTAACAAGTACGTCAAAAGTCGAACGAGTTTTAGTCGTTTGTGTATGTGTCGATCCGGATCGCTTGGCAACAACATCTAATTTTAATTCAGTTATCTTGGTTGAATCAAGAACAAATATAGGTTTAATATTGAAATAAATCATATTTAATACACGGAAAAATAATGTCCTATAAAAGAAAATTTGTGAAGACAAATAATGATTTATTTATTTTTTTCTTGAAAAGGAAGAGATAGCGATCTTTTTCGCTCAAACCGCTTGACCTTATTCTATAGGCCATTGCCATTGCGCAGGGTCTACTTCGTGCTGTTTGCTATTTTAAAAAGCAGAATTTGTTTTTAAAGTCAAAATCAAATATTAATTTATGGATTGCACTTGACAAGTGAACATTCTCAAAAGGAAGTTCTCCATTCATTTTTTCCCATTAATTTTACAGTCATCAAATATATATGTTTAATTATTGGATGAAAACAACAATATAAGCTACGTGACATACAAATGTTGATTACATTAAAACGTGTGCATTCGACTCAATCATACTATCTTTGCCTAATACGATGACTCGTAAATTATGATGTTATACCCCCCGCCCCCCGTATTACACAAGGTGTTATATTGCTATTTTTCGATAACAATAACAAAATTCGATTGGATGAATATTATCTGACTATTTAAAAACATATTTGATCATTATTTGAGTGAATCAAAACATTAACGCCGAGTATTGTTTTTACGAGCAATAGACATTTTTCATAGGCAATAAAATAGAGATGTTAATTATCAACTAAATCTCTTCGAAAACTACCTACCTTAAATGTAGTGAATTTCGATGATTTGATGTTGACACCGACCGCGATTCGATAATCCAAATGCTTAAATCAACTGCAGCAGTTTTTCCTGCTAAATCCTCGTATGAGCCTTGTTTACATGCTGGTTCTAAAATTGACCAAAGATGTTTAACGCCCATCTGAAATTCAAAAAAAGAAAATATACAGATTTTACATCTTCCAATAGAAAATACAATGTAATAAAATGTAATCATTTATTTCAACAAAAGAAATAACACTTATTCATTTAACTTTGTTTCTTAAAAAGACTCTGTATTTTATCTTTAAAGCGTATGGGAACTAACGATAAAATTGCAAAAAAGCCAAGCATAAAAATTGAACGCCATGAAAATACATCGGACGGCGATGATAATTGATGAAGAGTTTTGCCTGCTTGAATAAACAATATCGATGGTAGGGCAACACCAGCAAATGTACCGGCAAAAAATAGCCCTAGCGGTACATCGAGTATAGGCGAACAAACATTGATGAACCAATTTGGTAATATTGGTGTTATACGTAAAAATATAATAAACCATAGAAGACTGCCTGCATTTGCTTGAACTGTCTTTTGCCAGAGAGTTATTTTGTCATGAAAACATTTCAATAGAATATGTCGACCAAATAGTTGGGAAAGTAGATAACAAAAACTCGCTCCTAGTGATGAACATAGACAAACAAGAAATAATGCTAAAGGAAATGGATATAGAAATCCAGCTAATATGCTTAAAAATATTGAACCTGGTATTGCAAATGTTTGTAAACTAAATTAAAAATAAAAATGAATTTTTTCTCTTGACAATAAACTTCTTCTTACAAAATGTATGTGAGAAAAAAGGCAATCATAATTATATATCGATGATGTTTACTATATTTATATAAAATATTACCAAGACTTTTTGCATCCTCAATTGTTGTCGGAATTTTAAGTGCAGCTTTTTCTGTGCTATAAACAGGAAATATTTGTTGTAGAAAGCTAAATTTCTTTTCGTTTTACATACTCATCTATTTTTGGAAATAATATATATAAAGTAGTTAGACTTAATATTGAAAAAATAAATATCATTATCAATGCAAAACAATGATGACGCTTGACGCGTGTAGTTTGAGGATTTAGCAGTGGAATTACAGTTGTAGAACTATCAAGATTTTTTCCAGGAATGAGCTTTTCATTTGCTTGCTGTAAATGTATATCTAATTAGGAGAAAAGTACGATAGATTATTTGTTTTCAAATGGTTAATATCAAAACCTGGAATATTGACCGTATAATCACTGGACGAAGTAAACATGTGTTTGATCAAAAGTATGTTGTTTCATGCGAGTGTTATATTTTATAATAAAACACACATGTTCGCTGCTTCTATGTTACGTTCTTTTTTTCCTTTCTTGTCCAGTAGAAAACTGTGTACGATTTCTTTTTTTTTCTCATCCTTTTCTTTTCTTCGCCTGTCATTTTACCAGATGATTCTCTTTACAAATCTTTTTTTCTTCCACTTACAAAAGAGTATGAATTTGCCTGAAGAAATTTTTTATTCTCGTCTTCAATTACTTACCTTCATAATGAAATTGTCTTTCATTTTCTCGTCAAAACTAAATTATAGATTACATCTAGAATAAAATTAACTAACCATAGTTTGTCGTCTTTTTTTACTCTTTATTAAACACAAAATAAAATTAATTGCAACATTATTATTCAAACACAAAGCCATATACATTCAAAGCGAAGAATAAGAAAAAAAGCCTGCTTTTTCTGTTAAAAATGTTTTCTTCAAAGAACTGCGCATGCTTTACTACGTACTGATCTACTAGGGATTTTTGCTGAATTATTCGGTTCACTGATAGTTTCATTTGTTTGAAGTGATTGGCAATCGAGATTTTTACTTCCGCCTGTTGTATTTTGTGTTACCTGTGTTGCAGTGTCGTCGCTCTTGATTACAATAGCTGGCACTGCATTATGCTCAGGTGGTACAAGTTGTCGCTCGCTTTCAGGTATTGTTGTTGGAACAACGCTGCTATCTTTTGCCTTGGCTGAATTTGAATTTCGAGGAAGTCCACCTTTGAGACTATTTGTTTGTTTCAGTTTTGCTTCTTCAGTTTCTTCACGTTTCATCTGGCTTAATATAGATTGAAATGGGCGTTGTATAACTTTGCCGCTACGATCTTTTTTATTCAATATAAAATATGTTGGAACTGTTAAACCACCATTTATCGCTAGTTTCGGGCGTTCTTGGACGTCGTATATTTTACGTTCTAGTAATTGATATGTTGCTTCAGTTACATGAATATGCAATGCCTAATAGAGAATGAAACATCAAATAAACGTCGAGTATATGAGAAGAAATTTGATCTCTTGTCTAATCAGTAATTAGACTATTGAAAGGGAGTAAACAAAAGAAACACATTGTTTTAAAAAACTAAGCTCTAATAAATTCTATTGGAACTATTTTTGTTTATTTGATCCTACACTTGTCTGATTGATGATAATGAAATTTATCGACAGTCAGTTGCTCCACATATGTATATATCGCAGGAAAATTGAATAACAAACGAAATTCATTTTGATTGGCTCCAGCATGTAATATAAGCGACATTACTTTCTTGATAGTAGTCTGTGTAAACAGATACACTGTCTATTCTTTGATACCTATTTTCATTCTACGACATAATACAATGGTGTATATTATCGTCCCGTGAGAATTCAATAATTCATAGTTTAGTATTACATACATCAAATATAGGCATCTATAGTACACTTGATATACGATACATTCATAGGTCTTGACGTGATAGAAAAATGTCCGTGCCCCATGTCTTTTGATATGTGTGCGTTGTTCAAATAGTTCGGAACTGTAAATGAATAAAGTTTGACCTGATATTCTTTCATACTTTATTCTGATATAGAAACGTGCTAGAGAAAGAAAATAATTGTGAAGTGTTATTTTAAACTGAACCTATCCAATAAGACAAATCGAACTATCTGAAAAATTATTTAATTGGAATTCTTTTCTTCGTGCGTGCCTTACCGGAGAGTACGATGCACTCCTACTGAGACGTAATCATAGGTTCAAGAATAATCGAGGAGATAGAAGAATTTTAAAAATTCTTGAGAAACTAACGAATCTTACTTTACTAGTTTGTTCCAATCTGTTCGCCGTTGTTACTGTGTCGCCAAAGAGACAATAACGTGGCATTTTAATACCTGCTATACCAGCAACTACTGGACCACTATGACAACCTGAGAACAAAAAACATCAAAAAATCTCTGTTCCTAATTGAAACCAATCTAGATAACTCACCAATACGAATTTTAAGTTTTTCATTATTAGTTGGATTTGTTACCGTAACAATTGAATCCAACATATCGAATGCCATATCAATAATTTCTGCTGCATGATTTTTTGCACCTTAAATCAACGAGATCTAAATCAAAATTATAAAACGAAAAATACGTACGTTCCGGTACACCACTAACTAACATATAAGCATCGCCAATTGTTTCAACTTTAAAACAATTATGTGCTTCTAAGCATTTATCGAATTTTGTATACATTTCATTGAGTACCGATACAACTTCCATCGGCGTAAGTGACGAACATATTGTTGTAAAACCAACAACATCACTGAATAAAATTGTGCAACTTTCAAATGTCTAAATAAGAAGAGAATGAAAGTTCTGTCGGTGCCAACGAACAAACAATAGCAATCGCTTGTTTCCAATTTCATGTCCATCGATTGGCTACTACTTTCAACAATTGAATTTTCTTCAATAGATAGCGCTTCGTATTAGCCCTCATTCGTTCTTTTTCCAATATCTTCGATGATATGAGAAAATCAAAGTTCTTAATTCGATTACAAAATTGAAAATCTAACTGGAATAAAAAAAAGTTATTTCCCTTGATTAATATTTATTTTTAGTCTACAGTTACAATAACATGTAGTTCTTGTATCGCAACTATGGCTAGATATATCGTATAAAAAAGCAGGTAAAAATAAAACGCTATCAATCGGTCTATTTACAATATTGATGATGAAATGTTTCTCGAGTACTAATGATATCCAAGTAGTACCGCTCTAGCTCACAATTATTCTTCAGCATACGATTTCTTTCTTTAATCAACCATAATATACTGCCAGATGGCATGAAGGAGAGTAGATTGAAAAGTAATCAATCATGTCTGCAAGGAGTAGATCACGATGTTCTAAGTAGATATAGCCTCGGAAACGAAACCCAATGTCTTAATTTGTTGGTACGCAACTACTCTAAACGAGAGTGCTCAACAAATACAAAACAAACCTCGCAAAGAGTAGCTGCTTTTTCTCCACCGCGTAAACGGTCTGCAATTTTCTTGGGTATCATTTGATAAAGAAGTAAATCAGTTCGTTTCATTTCCACATCTAATTTTTTCATGCTATCTTCTAATGCTTTGCTTTTTTGTTTTTCCTAAAAAATAGAGTCGTTTTATTAATGTTAATGTCAAAACTTTCATGGGTTTTTTGAAAATATTTACCTGATCAAGTGCTAATTTAAGTTCAGCACTTTGTTGTGTACCAGCCAAAACCAGATCTCGACTTGAATCATGCATGGACAAATCATTTATAAATAGACCAGTGTTAAACATAACATCGAGATTTTCAAGACTAAAAGGAATGAAGACAATAAATTTATTTACTGGGATACTCTCTGATATGTTATTTTAAAATGAAAATTTTCAAAAGATACCAATTCAATCAGTGCGCTAGCACTTTAACAGCGCGCGGGACAGTGAATGGTGAAGGATACTCAATTGTATGAGATAGTCATTTATAAAACTAACTTACACTGGCGTAGCCAAATAGATAATTAGTTTCCATTCTTCTACATACAGCATCTGACCGCGAAGACGTAAATATTCTTCGTGTACTTCTTGATGTGCCGATATGCTTAAAAGCATTTCTAAAATAAAATAAAATAAAATGATAATAATATGTTCTTGCTAAAAAAAAAGATGCCTCAGTTTACCCGAAGTATCTTCACTTTTTTTCTCATGTGTTTCTGGTTCATTGTCATTTAAAAATTTGTGCAATGGTTCAATAGATGCGAATTCAAAAACATTATTTGAATGCGACACAATTTCTATCGAATTCAATGCTACACTTGGCCTAGAAAAGAAAAGATCGTTTCCCAAAAAAAGAATCGTTATTTGTTTTTTTCTTCTTCTATTACCGAACAAGTGTGAATATGTCACGAACAAGTTCACCAACAATATGTGGAAATAATTGTGTTAAAGATTCTCCAGCTGAAATGATTGCTAATGTATCCGATAGAATTATGTGAAATGGAAATAATTCATAAAAAACATAACAATCTATGGCTAAATTAAGCTCATTTGATTGTTTATTAGCAATTGTATGTTGAACGTATGCCGTATTTTCAAATTTAAGTTCTAATATAACGTGCGATAATTCAGTTTCATCTTGTTCGCTAATGATTTCAATTTGAACTTTGGTATCATAAAATCGACGACCAACCTAGCGAACAAAATTGATGAAAAGAAAATTCAACTGAGATTCTATCAGACCTCCATGATTTGTCCGATAACGTAATGAACATAGCCTCGACGTCGACTACGATAGTGAAGTGTTAAACCATGGGCACTTTCTTTTTCAACATAAAATGATGGTGGTCGCATTCGTGGATATGTATAACGCATATATTCATGCAAATTGTCCAAACCATTGAGAAAATCTCGCATATTATGTCCGCTAGAACAAAACTATTCTTTTGCACGTTAAAATTTCTTAAAAACGAACATACAGAATTCGTAAGACGCGATCATAGCCATAATTTGAAATGTACGAAACGAATTCCGTTCCAAATACATTCATAAGATCGCACACTGGCTCATCTAAAGAAAAATATCATTAGTCAATACTTGCTAGAATACATATATCAAAGGCTTTCTATTCACGGTTTCGCTGGAAAAAATTGCAAGTCTTAGGGATTCTAATGTTTTCTTTAGTTGTTGCATTCTTTAATTTTTGTCTTAAGAAAAATATTGTTTAGATTGACTCATCAACGTATATTCCAGAAACTGTATCTATCTATCTGTGGAAGAATATTTTGGCGCTTGAGCATAAATAAGTATGCTTGTTCTATTGGTTCACCTCTTGTGTTCTGTCACATTTAATGCTTATTTTGCCACTTAATTAATAGTAAATGTTTGGATTTCTTATTCTAGAAGAAGAATGAAATTTATCTGGCTTAACCTAGATAGGCTTCAAAGGAATAGAAACTATTCCTATGTTCAAAAATAGACGTTTAGATCATCTCGGATCCTGTTGGAATGCTTCACAATTGTAACAATGAAGATTCTTAGTTGCGATTAACAGATGTATTGTCTTAAATTCAAAACTACGATTCTCATCGTTATTTTTTTTTTTAGTACTTAAAATATCTAATAGTAAATAAAACAAATGAGCAATTTGCTCTTAAAATAAAAGTTTAGTTATTTTAAAAACAATACCACAACAAATATGTATCCTGTGCTATTCAATCATCTAATGAGAAGCTATATTCGTTTCAACTTCGCAAGTGAATTATGATTGAAAATATCCGTAGGCAAATATTCTTCTACTTACTTCGAATTTCACTTAAGTTTCTTGTTACTCGCATAAATAATGTTTCCCCATATTGTTGAAATACCGAAAATGAATTCGTCTCAATATTAAGTGTATTTCTAATTTGCTCCCATATTTCTTGTCCATATTTGGCTCTTATAATTTCAATAGCTGCTTGTAGTAGAAGACCGTACATTGTGTTATCTTCTTATTTCTATGGCATACTTTCTAATGATAATGATGACAGGTAGTGAAAGAACTCGACATAATACTTCAAAAGAAGAGAGAAAAAACTATCACAGAGAAATCACGCGTGCAAAACAAAAGGAAATACGAGGAAATGGAAATGGAAAAAGAAAAACGTTCACCAGCATCAACAATCAGTCAATAGGTGTCGAGTTGCTTTTGCAGTAAATTCAAGACGAAAATTGTTCTTCTGTTTCACGTGTGTGAACTCGATTGATATTAAAAAACGAAGAAAGATGCACGCGATGCTAATGAAAGAGAAGAAAAGAATCAAGTGTATGATGAATATGTAAGTAAGAAAATGTAAGCCATCGTATAGAAAAAAATATATTTTTATAAATGCTTATAAATATCTCAAGATGAGTTTTAAGATTAATAAATGCATTTTTTTCTTGTCTTATTTTATTATATACTATGATTCAGACGCATTCACTTTCTTCTTTGGAGAACATTTTAAACTTGTATTTGAAGATAGTATGAGCTTATTGTCAAAACAAAGAATTTTCCATGCGAATAACTTCAACCATTAATATTGTCAAGAGATCAACTAGAAATTAGATAACACATCAATAGGTGGCCTTGAGACACAGGCAACGAAAAATACGGAAATCAGTTTCCGTTTTTAATAAAAGCTTCTATGGTTCAATAACCATCGTAAAAATTTTACTTACCATTGAAATTCTATTTATGGACATATATCTATTAGGTTTTTTTGTTATTATTGAAGTAACAAATAAAATCGTTTTGTTATATATTGCTAAGAAAAAATTCATTGAAGCTAGGTTTTGTTTGCATGATCAGTTAACAAATGAAAATTGTGCAAATCAATGTCAGCGAAAACTTTTCAGTCACAAAAACAAGAGTACATGAACTGAGAATGAGAAATTAGTTTCTATGCTTAAGGTTTTTAAGAGTTAACTCAGACGTTAGAAGTAAGCATGCGATAGTGTTCATTAGAGAAATTTTTTCTCGGAAATAATCTATGGTGACATACACTCAAGTCGAATAATTCTATTTGATATTAATTCTCATACTGCAATCCATTAAAACTACATTGAGTACAAACGTCCTGTAAACTAATACGTTTGCATAGGAAAACTGTTTTAGTTTATTAGACGCAAAAAGGTACTAGTAATAATCGACTAAAATATCTACTTGAACTATAACATTACCGACATGAAATTACTTCACAATCTATTCGAGATACAGTTTAGATGTATTGAAAAAAAAGGCTAGTTCAATGTTTTGTTTTTGACTACTGAAGTATTTATACTGCGCACATATGAGGAAAGCAGCTGCTACTTCAATTTATTTACGAAGACATATGAGCTAGTTAGTAACATTGTGCATTTCAGAATAATTGTATTGGTATATATTTTAAATAGAACTTGACGCATTGGATCAGCCAGGTCCTTCAATGGCCTGATTTGCTTTTAAAAAAATCGATTTTATTCATGGATTCCGATGCGGTAAGCTCTGCTGTATCATTACCATCTTCATCTTTTCATTGTAATCAAGCATGACTAGGTTTAGAGGCTGTCCAAAATTTCTAAAACGTTGTATCTTGAAGAAGATTTTTATTCACGAGAATTCTTAAGATTTCATCAGTAATATTCAATTGAATCGACGAAATCATTTCTAATATATTTCAAACCATGTAAAACAAAAAGAAGTAAATCTACAGCAACTCTGTAAGATTGAACATTGAGAGAGACAATGAATCTAACATGATGATATTAGTATTGAAATTCATAAATCGAATGAAATAAAAAGTAGCGTTGAACACGTTTGTTTATAATCAAAGATTCTATACGTTTTATACTTTTCTTAGGTTTTGATCAATGTTACTAGTTAAAATATTGTTGACATTTGAATACGATATGAACAGAAAATAATTATTGTAGGTTTTGCCTTATTAACTCATCGTTTTTTGATGTTTCCATGGGAAAATCACACTTCGTCTCGCCTCTTACGAACACCGGTAAATGTGGGCGAGTATTCGGAAATGAATTTTCTTCGTAAAAATTTATGCCATGAGTTCGTAAACACCTATGTACCGGAGATCGTAATGAACAAGGTCGGTTGTGCGGAAGGTAATTCTAAGGGTACTTTAACACGGAGTTCGCAAAAGAATTTATTAGAACATCGTAATTGATATAAAGACTTTCTGTTCTTATAAGCAATAATATAATAGAATGCATCATCACCAACTGTTACGAAGAGTACTTCTTGTTCACAATCATCATCTGATGAGCGTTCTCAGTCTCCACCATTAAAGAAACATAAAATTAAGAATAATAAATTGATTAAAAAGCAACAGCTGAGCAAGCTGCTTCTGTATATTATTTACGTTTAACTCCAATATTAAATCTTCTTAGAGTTAGACCCAACGATCATGCCACTGCTGCTTCGTCTTCATCTTACACATCATCATTTCAACTTGGTCTTCTTGCATCAACATCGAAAAATAAACACGTAATTAGGTTCAAAAAGCGTATACATTCATCGAAGGATAAATAGAATGATGATATATATTAACACTAGAGTCACGAATAAATATGTATTCTTTTTCTTTCAATAAAACTGGCATTTGTAATAGAGAATGTATTGAAGGAATAAGGAGAATAATAACTAAAACTAGAGTTATACTAGTAAGCAGAATTGCAATCGCAATTGCTTGAATTCATCGGAACGTTCTCTTTGTGCATGCTTTTAGGTTGCGATTTTAGCGTGTCACTTCATATTTTCTCATAGGTGAACCAACCTGAACATACAAAAATCGTGTCGTTTTTTTCAGTACAGCCTTCCTGTGTTTGCCGTTACGAACACCCGGACATTCCGATTACAATCTCCAGCCAAATATTGATGTGCGCAAGCAGCAAAATTTAACTAGAGTTCGGAATCAATTTTGACAATAGCTTTTTCAATGGTTATATTCTATAAAAAAAAGCTATTGTTAGAATTGATTCCGAACACCATGTCTTTTTCTTCATGTCAGGAGATCGTAAAAAAGAGGTGAGACGAAGTGTCATTCACCCGTTTTCATTGATGATAATGTTTTATGTACACTCCGAAATAGATTTGATCTATAGTGGTGGTAGCCAATAACTGTATTATCAATGTTCATCAACAAAAAATCTGTATGTTGTATGTTAATTTAAACCAGACAAAGTGCGAAAAATTGTGTAATAATTATCAGAAGTTCTGATTTGGATGATATTATATTGTGGGCGTAGGTTTCTGGAAACAACTCAATCAGTAGACTGCAGCCATACCCATACACCCACACCTATTTTTTCTAACTATATTTACTGTATAAATGTTCACGTACACTGTTTTTCTTTTCTATAGTTTATTTATTTTTTAAACTATATAATTCTAACTACACGTTTTTGTATTTTTCAATGTGAAGTGTTACAAATGAATCAGTATAAACCTTGGATGCAGTTATATCTAGAGATGAGGCTCATAAATATTGCTTCAATACATACGAGAGAGCAATTTGAAGTAATACAAAATAAATACTGGTTGAAGATAATAATCATAAACGATCGTATAAAGACTCCGTTGAACTCGGTCTGCGAAGAGAATTAAATAATATCCAACGCTCTGCACATTTGTCATCTATGGTATGGTTGTAATAAAAAAAACAAAGTTACACAATCATGTGAGCCAAGTTAATGAGAGGTGAGATAAGCAGCTATCTGCAATAAACTGGTTACAATAAAAACCGATATCATAAACTTGTTTTCTGCATTCATTCTAAACAGCAAACAATACGTGCGTAATAACTGTAGCAAGGACATTATCAAGAAAAAAAATAATAGTAGTTGAAGAAGAGACCGAAACACGAATGTCTTCAAAAGTACAACCGCAGGAGCAAACTGGCAAATTATCGGATGCATCTCATGAAACACAAAGTAAGTGCGTTCATAATGCTAGGGTGTGAGTGTGGGTGTGGGTGTGTTTGAAAGAGTATTGGAATAGTTCATTATTTTACGACAGATATGTATCAGTGATGAAACAAAAGATTTAAGTACAGTTTTACGATATAGCAGATATCTTGCTGTTTATTGACTGCCAATATCATCTCAGTGCCAATAAATTCAAAGCATTTTTTTTTTATTGTGACCTTTTGTTGGCACGAAGAAAGTTGGACTACTTCAGGGCAAATTCATCTTATCTAGGTTCAGGTGTAATTGTTGTTATTCTCCTAAGACATGTACTGATTCATCTCTATCAACGCCTAATTTAAATGCTTACTTCAATAAAACGTTGGCATCCATTGGTCTATAGGTGGATATTTGAAAAATGAATTACTTTTGATATGCCATAAATAATATTTGATGAACTGAAAGACTATCTGCCAGCACCTTTTCGTTAGAATTAAGATTCATTGCGAATAATGTATATTTGAACGCTGCATTAGAAATTATTCGTTTGAACACGCGTATTTTCTAATCAGTGCAAACTTTTCAGATTACAATTAATGTCATAGCGTTGTATTTTGTTGAGAAGAAAATTGATGAGTAGTTAAGCTATGTTATAAAATAAATTTCATTTGAATTCTGTATCGATTATTGATGTATGCTAGGTAAAAAAAGAGAATCCTGTCGTTTGGATTGGGCAGAATCATCATGGACAAGATGGATAAATGTGGCACTATGGTGGTGGATTAAGCCTCTTATTTTATTAGGAAATCGGCGCACATTGGTCGACGAAGATTTAAGCGATATTTCAGTTAAAGACAAGTGTGTTGCCTTGTTGAACAAAGCCAATTGTGATAGCTCTAAATGGCCAGGTACGTGGAATCTAATCAGACGTACGTTTTTAAAGGATTTCTTCGAAACCATGTGGTTCATGTTAGCATTTGCTGGGACCCGTATTGCACAACCATTACTCCTTCGTGAAATTATCATCTATATTAGTGATACATCAGGATTACCGGCTTACCGCGGTTATTTATTTGCTATTGGTCTTACTATTTGTTCAATAATACAGGCTATTGTTCACCAACAAGCCTTTTTTCGAAATCAACGAGTAGGTATGCGCATGCGCAATACGCTAAGTTGTGCCATATATAAACATTTATTGACGATCAATACGGCGTCGCTGTATAAGACTACTGCTGCTCAAACAATCAATTTAGTTGCCAATGATGCAGGTAAGTTTGAAGAAATGACTGCTTCCTTCCATTATATATGGGTGGCACCTTTGGAAGCTTTCACAATGTTTGGTCTCATCTGGTGGATTATAGGTTTGCCAACATTGTTTGGCTATGCCGCACTTGCTCTATTACTTCCTTTACAGTTCGTTTGTAGTAGGCTATTCAGTCAATATCGAAAGGTAACAATGGCATGTACGGATACGCGTGTTCAAACGATCAATGAACTTATTCATGGATGTCAAATTATTAAAATGTACAACTGGGAAAAAGCTATGGAACAATTAGTACGTGACACGCGGCGAGCTGAATTGCAGAGTATCTTTAGATCCAGTCGTTTGCGTGCTCTTAATTTTAGTATCTTTTTTTCATCGCTACCATTAATTTCACTAGCAACATTTGGTGGCAGTTGGCTTATGGGTAAACAATTAATAGCAGCGAACATTTTTACGGCGTTGTCTTTCTTCGGCATGCTGCGAATGTCAGTAGCTTTGATGTTGCCAGGTATTATTGAAAAGCTCAGTGAAGCTCGTGTTGCTGCAAGAAGAATCGATCAATTTATGGAATTCGAAATACTGCTGAATAGACGAGAACAAGAAGCAAACGAAAAAGGAGATCATGCAATTATAATGGAAGATGCATCATTTTCCTGGAAAGATACTCCTAGCCTATTTTCTCTCCGTCTCAAGATCAAGCATAACACATTAGTTGGAATAAAAGGTTCCACAGGTGCTGGAAAATCATCTCTACTAGCTGCTATTCTTGGTGAAATCAATCTTGTGAGTGGAAAATTACAGCAATGCGTTCGTTCTATTTCCTATGCTCCACAATCGTCGTGGATATTTGCTGACACAATAAGAAATAATATTCTACTTGGCAAACCAATGGATGAAGAACGTTACCAAAATGTGATTAAAGCATGTTGTCTTGATGTTGATTTACAAAATTTTGGTGAAGTCGGTGACTTAATGATGATTGGTGATAAAGGGGTTAATTTGAGTGGAGGACAAAAAGCTCGAGTATCATTAGCTCGTGCTCTTTATGTTGATGCAGAATTGTATTTACTCGATGATCCAATTGCAGCTGTTGATCCAAAAGTAGCGAAGAAAATCTTTGATCAATGCATTGGTCCGCGTAGTCTTTTATCTCAGAAAACAAGAATATTGGTTACACATCAGATACATTTCTTAGCTGAAGCAGATCAAACAATTCTCTTAGCAAATGGTCGTATCGATGAATTTCATACTGAACAACCTGCTGCTGATGAGCAATCGAATGATACGACCGAGTCAGATTCACCAGACGAAAATAACGAAGATGAAAACGAAAATGATTTTAAACTTATCACTGCTACAAAAGATATGAATTCAATTGTGAAAAACGAAGCATCAACGGAAGGTTCTGTGCAGTGGAAAGTTTGGCTTCAGTTGTTTACCGCCCCACCTTTACGTTGGTTGGGATTTTTTCTACTGATTATCTTACTCTTAGTCACCGAAGCTCTGTACGACTTCACAAATCGTTGGCTCGCTCTATGGTCTGCCAAATCCGAAGCAAATGAAAGTTCATCATCGGATGCTTATGTCTATCTTGGATTAACATTAGGTACATTTCTGGCTTCGTTACTGCGAGCCGGTTTCCATATGTACATCATGCTACGTGGATCAACGTTTTTTCACAATCAAATGCTTAACGGTATTTTGTATACGTCATTACGTTTCTTCGAAAGTAATCCAAGCGGAAGAATATTGAATCGTGCCAGTAAAGATCAGCAAATCTTAGATGAGCTATTACCTGTAACTGTAATCGATACGATTCAAAATCTACTGATGATTCTTGGTACTGTTGTAATAATCGGAATCATTAATCCATGGGTACTTCTAATTTTTATTCCATTGGTTCCTTTATTTTGGTGGCTTCACCGATTCTATATGCGTTCAAGTCTTCAACTCAAACGACTTGAAAGTGTAACTCGTAGCCCAATCTATTCATTGTTCTCATCTTCATTAGAAGGACTAACGAGTATTCGTGCATTTGGAGTTCAACATGACTTCATTAATATGTTCATGGAAAAAGTTGATTCAAATTTTCGAGCTTACTTCGTTCTCATTGCAGCTAGCCGTTGGTTTGGCTTGCAACTCACTTTTATGACAACTTTACTCACATGTTTGACAGCAATTCTTGCAGTAGCGTTGCGCCATCAAATCGATCCGTCGGCTGCCGCTCTCAGTCTCACATACTCTATCACTATATCGACTCTATTTCAATGGGCTGTAAGACAATCAGCCGAGGCTGAAAATCTCATGACCAGTGCTGAACGTATTCATGAATATGGACAGCTTGTACCGGAAAGTCATCGAAACAATCGTAAAACAGAACTATTGGTTCAGCCGCCACATGATTGGCCTTCTCGTGGTATTATCGAATTTAAAGACTACACATTTCGGTATCGGCCAGAGTTGGATCCTGTACTGAAAAATCTTAATTTACATATCAAATCAAAGGAAAAAATTGGAGTCATTGGTCGAACAGGTAAAACTAATCAAGAATCTATATCGACAAGTGCTAATATATCTGAACGAAGAGTTAAGAAAACAGCTAGAATTTTTATGGCGCTATCATAACACCGACGATATTTTTATTTGAACAAACAGTACATGATTCTAAATACGACATATAATTACTTTTATTTGTGAAAATATCATCGAGGTTCCCTGAAAATTTAAGTTTTTGTTTCAAGGCACATATTTGAAAACTTGTCAAAAGTCGAATAGTCAAATACGTTCACATAGGAATTCATAAATATCGTCGCTACTATTCTGTTTAATTAGGAGCTGGAAAATCATCACTTCTTCAAGCTCTCTTCCGACTTGTTGATCAATCATCAATCACAGGCAGTATCTACATAGATGGTATTGATATTGGATGTCTTTCACTCGATCAACTTCGTTCTCATCTAAGCGTTATTCCACAGGTACCAATTCTATTTTGTGGTACACTTCGATATAATCTTGATCCATTCTCACAATATTCCGATGAAGAATGTTTAAAGGCACTTGAATCTGTTCAACTCAAACACCTGGTAATTAATAATCCAAATGGACTTACTCAATTAGTGGCTGAATCGGGTAGTAATTTGAGTGCAGGAGAGCGTCAACTTATCTGTGTAGCACGAGCCATTCTCAAGAGAAGTCATATATTGCTTATTGACGAAGCTACAGCACATGTTGATCATGCCACCGACAGCATGATTCAAAGTGTTATTGCTGACAAATTTCGAGATCGAACTATACTGACAATTGCACACCGATTGAACACAATAGCGAATAGTGATCGTATTCTTATGTTGGAACAAGGAGAAATTGCCTATTTCGATGTACCAAGTGGCTTGAATCTAACTTAGCGTAGTTGCAAAAAATATGCAATAGTAGTTATGAAGAGTGCATGTTAGATTTATGAAAGTCAATAAAAATGCCTTTTTGTTTAAAACAAATGTTCTTCAGGGTGTGGGTGTGGGTATCTATCATCGTGTCAAGTAATAATCCTCAAAATAATCACTAGGTGTCACACCGAGTAGTAACATTCTTAACGGTATCAGCTATAGAGTCCAATCAGCCAATAACCGAATGGCCTCCTCAAGAAACCAATAGAAACTTCACTCGGCATGAATCATATTGTTTTACAAGTATTCTTATCATTTTTTCCGTAAGCACTAGAGAAAAATGACCGGAGAATATAGGGGTACAATGGATTTACATGGAAAAAATGCTGTTATAACTGGTGCTAGTAGTGGCATCGGTAAAGTGGTAGCATTAACTTTGGCTAAAGAAGGGTAAAATTATTTATATTTGAAATTTCTACTTTCTAGCAAGAATACATTTTAGTTGTAATGTTGCTTTGTTAGGTCGTTCTCGTGATACTCTGGAAAGTTTAGCTACTGAATGTTCAAAACATGCCGTGAAAGCTCACGTTATTATCTGTGATATGTCATCGAAACAATCAGTGGAAGATGCATGTAAAGAAATCGGTCAAATATTTCAAAATAAATTAGATATTCTTATAAATAATGCTGGCATATTTGGTGAGAGTATTTCTTCTATCGAAGAAAAAACACCATCAGGAAAAGATGTGGTAGATATGTGGGATGAAGTCATGACAGTGAATTTATTAAGTTTAATGCGAATGACAGGAAGATGTTTACCAATGATGAAAGAATGTAAACACAGTGCAGTGATTGCTATATCATCCATAGCAGCAACGGTTAGTAAAACAAAAAATAGTGAATATTGAGGCGGATTTTTCAATCAGTTAAATAATTATTTGACATTCCATCGATATAATGTTTTCAGATGACTAATGGGAAACTAGCTCAATATTATGCTAGTAAATGGGGACTTAATGGGTTTCTTGGTTCGATTTATGAAGGTTTGATAGAGAACTATTTGTTTTTTTTATTCTATTAGCGGTTTTCTGTCGTATAGATGTTCGTGAATATGGTATTAAAGTATGTTCTATTATGCCTGGTTTTGTCAATACCCCAATGCTTCATAGTGCTACGCAGAACTTCAATTTTGACAAATGTATTCAATCAGAAGATATTGCTGAAGGTGTTCTTTATATTTTACGAACACCCTATAATGTCTGTCCTACAGAAATTAAATATCGACCACAATACACACCAATTTTGAAATAAGGACATTATTTTTTTGTTTTTCTGATTAAAGATGTATGTTCATCTAAGTGAATACTTCGAGCTTCTTAGTGTTGAATTTTGAAGATGAAATTATCAATAAACATCATATTGTTTTGCATCGCTTAAGAAATCTCTTTACTAATTTTTCCTCAGGATAAACTAGCTAATTGTTGAACTGCTCTCTAATGATAGAACAGTATATCATAAGTATACGATCCGATCAAAAATGCTTGTATCACTTGTATGTATACCACAACAGCCGACGATACAGCATTCAAACGAAGTATTGCGGTATGCAATCATTTTTTCCTCATTTCTTTAGCATTATTGCTATCGATTGAATATAATTCTGTCGATGTCATTTATTGACTTTTTTTACAAGGCAATAAGTGTGAGAATCGACCATCAGTTATTCTTTACCCTGCCACACTCTTGTATTACAATCAGTAGTCGATAATATTTACTGAAATGAATGGTAGTGCGCTCTTACTGCTTTGCTTTTTAGCTCGTATTAGTGTGATCTATTCAACAGATCCTTCATGTTCCGGTAAAGTAAATACAAATCCGATCGTACGCGAAGATCCTCGCCTTGTTAGCACGGTTCCGAATGGAAAACGATTTGTCGTTGGATCAGACTATGATCAAATCAATATTGTGCATGTCTATGGTGGAACACCTTACGATATGGGTTTTGCTTTGGGCAAATTAATGAGCAAAGAAATAACTGAATTAGTGCCGGCATATTTCGAATATTTATACGAACAGGTGGAAGAAATATTAAAAATAGTACCAGCGGTAAGTCGAGAAAATTTTTATACCAATATTGTTTCTTTTTATGCTCCTCTCTGTAGTTCATTGCAAAATGGATTGCAGATTTGGGTTTGGCTGGTGCACTCGATCTTACATATGAAATTACTCATCCTTATACACCTCCATGGTTTGACGATGAAATTCGCGGTGTTGCTGATGGTAGCGGAGTTGATATGGTCAAGATTCGCCAAGTAAACATGCTTCCAGAAATGATCAAAGCTGCGTGCACAGTTTTAGGAGCTTGGGGTGATTCTGTCATTGGATCAACGTTACTACATGTTCGAGCATTGGACTGGGATGACAAAGCTCCCATTGCTAAATATGCAACAATAACTGTATATCACCCTAATGCCTCCTATCAAGGTTATACTGATCATTTTCATGATTATTATAAACAACATAACCCTCAGTCACATGCCTTCGCTAATTTTGGGTATCCAGGTCTTATCGGTTCGCTTGGCGCATATAGTGAGGCATCGATTGCGTTGGGTGAAAAAGTGTGGATTACAAAGGAGAGCGATATCACCTCACGTTTTGGAAATCCATGGACATATGTTCTTCGTGATGTTGTCCAATTTGCCAACTCTGTCGATACAGCACTAACCATGATGGCTAATGCTCAGCGTACCTGTTCAATTCATCTTGGTCTTGGTTCTTACGAAAGAAATTCATCACTAACGGCAGATACAAACTTTGGATTCCGAGGAATTGAATACAGTGCACGAGAATTAAATGTCTACAACTGGGAAGATATGTTTAATACTAAAGCCCATCCTATTCTTCGAGATGTTGTCTATTGGGATAAACACGTACAACCATCCAATAATCCTTGTCTTGGAAGTTTACTAGTCGAACACTATGGTCATCTCAATGCAGAATCCATTATTTATAACATTACAAGTTTATCAGAAACGGGTGATGCGATGAATTTCGTTCTTGACTATGCCGAAAATGCTGTCTACATTGCCTACAGCGCTCCAGACGATCCAAAAGGGCCTTTGGAAGCCTTTAATCGTGCACATACACGCATTGATATGGGCAAATTATTTGCTGAGCCTGCTCCACATTAGACAGTTTTTTTCAACAATAAATCATTCTTAATCGTTCCATCAAATATAATATATTGTTATTCATTTTTCTTATATTTTCCTAGTAAAGAAGCAATGGATTCTCAACAGTCAATGGGATGTGACATTATTCGTCACATAGTGAAGGAGAAACAGAATGCAGAATTTGTTTTCTCTTTTCGAACCTGTATAGGCCTGTTGCTCGTAGAACGATTTGCACCCATATAACATAGAAAATGTAAGCACTCTAGCTGAAAACAATTATAGTAATGAGATAAAGCATAGTTACTCATTATTAATGGTCATTAATCGTGTTGTTAAATACTCAGTGTCGATTCTTTTTTTTTCATTATACTCTTCTAATTCCCCACGGATACACTGTAAAAAAAAAGAGTAGAATAATAAACCCTTGTCCTTTCTACAAATCATGCTAAACCCTTAAAGGGTTTATGAAACGAAGGGTATATGAAAAAAAGATGATACAAGAACAAAAAGGGTTTATTAATCTGAGATTTAAGGAGAAGGGTATATGATTTTATCTTCAAGGGTATTTTAATATGCGGTTTCAATAAAAGGGTTTATTACTTTCGTACTAAGGGTATTTTATTCTACGGTCTCGAGAAAAGGGTTTATTACTTACTTAAAAAGGGTATTTTATTCTACGGTGAGGGATTTACGGGGATTTATTGTTCTACTCCATCATCAAAAGGGTTTTTTATTCTTCGTTCAAAGGATTACACTTTTTCAACTGATATATATATATATATATATATACCATGAAAATTTCTCACAGGACACTTCAAACAATTTGATATAATAAACATGTTAATACAATCATTTTCTCACAATGCTGCCATTCATGCATCGATGCACTTTTCATTTCGTACCTGTTTCGTAAAACATAACGGTATGATAAAGAGGCGCTAATTTCTCTAATAAATTTTGAATCATTTCGAGCTAAACTTATACTTATAAAGGTTTTTAAAATAGATCAACAATTTTATAAAAGTATTAGAAATATATACGTTATAGATTTCTAAAAAAATAAGAAATATGTTAGAAAATTTTTGAGAAAATGGAGCAAAACGTTTTTAAATCTTTTTAAAAATCTTTTTGAGGAAATATATTTCAAAAACAAATTTTTCCTAATTTATTTAAATATGTAAAAAAATAATTTTTATTTTCAAAGAAATAATTTTTTAAATGCAAAATATTTTTTGCATATTTTTATGGCAATTAAAAATGTAATAACAATTGTTCCGCTTAACTTTATATCATCTTCAGTTTCCTATCAAGTTTCGTTTGATTTAAGTAGCATTTCTTACTTCATATTGATATCATGCGACTGACTGAATGGATAACATCTTGGACTATCAACCAATACATCTCATGATCGAACCTAGGACAACGCAGTAAGTTCCAAAATTTTAATCGGATCGATAAATTACAAAAAATACGTTGTGATGCGCATTGTAAACACAAACGAAAAAGAATCATAGTCTACTCATTTGTTTTTGGATTCTTTTTCTGAAAGATTGTTAACGCGTTTTTTAAGGGGCTTGTCTGAATGGAAATTGTAATAAACCCTTAGAAGCATTTATGAAAGGGTATATGAAAATTAAATACCCTTATAAGGGTTTATGAAAGTGCAACGTAGACTAAACCCTTTTAGGGTTTATGAAAATCAAATACCCTTTCATAAACCCTTCTAAGGGTATATGAAAGGGATTAAGAAACTTTTCACATACGGTAAAAGGGTTTAGTCTACGTTGCACTTTCATAAACCCTTAAAGGGTTTATTATTCTACCCTTTTTTTTTACAGTGTAGGAGCATGTGAGAAGTCTGAAGTAAAATAGCAGATAACAATAGATAAAATATCGAAAGAGAAAGAATGCTTATAAAACTTGTTGCATAGTGTATATAAACACTAATAAAGCATACCGTCAAGAACGCTTTTTGATAGCAAAAAAAATTATGCCTTTTGTTTTAGTTATTTACCATCCATTGCGAACTCAAGGTGTGTTTTAAGAAAGACGACTACATTAGAAGTTTGAGGTAAGTATCACAACGATTCTATTGATCAGAGCGTCCTTCTAATTAAAAAACAAACAAACAAATCATATTTGATATTTTCCTTCGAGACACATTATTCTGAAAGATCATCTTTTAACATTGAATTAATATGTCTGGAAAAGAAATGAAAAAAATGTCAAACACTAGTAGACCGTAGTAACGACGTCCAATCTACCCAACCTTGGTTTTGACGAAAAATCCACAGACCAAGTACCGCTAAGCACATTCTTGCCACTTGCAAAAATTTGTATTTCTTGATAAAGTTTGGCTAGGTGGACTAAATTTTAAATCCACTTTTAACTCTCTATAACCAAAGATTGAGAAAAACTAGGCTTTTGGAATGACTATCAATCGACAAGAATATCAGTAATTATCTTCAGAAATCATGCATACTGGTGCATGCTTGATTTTGCTTATTTTCTGACATGACTATTCTAACTATTTGTCTGCTGAGATCATTATTCGGATTGTTTCTCTATAGATAGATGGCACCGTCGTTACGTTTTGTCTTTACTATTAATAGTATCTCAGTAGACAACTAACTTAGTATATATGTATCCTTTATCTGACCAAATATGCGCTTTCAGTTAAGAAAAATTCATGATCCTCACAATATTTGACTGTTTTTTCTTTTATAACAGGATTGCACTAAAATGACGCTCGAACTTCTGCCCAATGAAATGCTATTTTTTCAAGGTATGTAAGAAATCTTGATCATTGATTAAGAAAGATGAGTAACAAGTCATTTTCCTCTTCAATTTCTCAATAGGCCCTTTCGATGTAGTATCAACAGCAATACTTCAATTGAACAATATTGGTCATCAACGCATTGCCTTTAGCATCAAGACAACAGCACCTAAACGTTATTGCGTTAAGCCGAATCGTGATTTTATTGAACCTTATGGAACTACAAGTATACAAAGTATGGACAGATATTTTACTCGAAGAACTCTTTCTATCAGCATCGTAAATATTTTTTGTAGTAATGTTCCAACCAATGCCAGCTGGTCAACAATCGGAAGATAGAAGCAAGCATAAGTTTATGGTGCAATGGACGATCGCTCCGAACGATTATAAAAATGATATTCAAGATTTTGTGAGTACTTTTTCTGTAACCTTACTTGTGATGTTTGAAATCATTTACAGTGGAAACAAAGTTCATCAGAACTCAAAGATGTAAATGACTCAAAGCTGCAATGTGCTTTTATTAACGAACCAACGGTAACCATTACGCACGTTCATACTATTGAACAACAAAATTCTCAAGAAACCAGTTCAGTGTTGTACAAGAATATTTTATCTTTCGAGTTTGACGGTCGTTATGAATAGAGATAATTCACGATGAGCATCAGCCAATGATTAAATTTTTATTCGACGTATTGACATGAAAAAAAATCAGATTTAGGGATCTCGTTCTGAATGAAAGACTATTCCATGTACTATTATACCCATCAAACAACGAATGTATCTATATCCTTTTCGATACTATTAAAAATTTTATATTTCTCTTAGATAGATTCCAAATATTGAATTTTCACAGTTGAAACATTCTGTCTTATCGGTTTAGATGCTGTTAAGCTTGAAAGAATCAGTCCTGGATGTAATTAGACGAGCAGAGGCTACAGCTGAAAGAAACAATGAGTTAATTCGTCAAATTAATGAGATGACTGGTGAAATTACTGTTATGACTTATGCTCTTAGACGACAAGATAATGGAAGCTATTCAGTAGAAGAAAATATACGAGTTAGTATTGAAGCACAAATGATTGTTTCCGAATGGCAAGATATTATCCAGCTTATTAATATTGAGGATTCCTTCAATGATGAAATTAACTACAGCTGTAATGATTATCAAGACATGATATTCTTAAATAGCGATATGCTATTAGTTATAAAAAAATACGAATCACTTGGTGATGAAGATCGACTTTTGAAGATAGTCAATAAATTCGCCGAAAATTTCTGTCGTATTGAACGAGCTCTTCAAAAACTTCTTCTGCATCTTTGCACCAGTGATCAATCTCGTTTGGATGAGATTACTCAACGGGTGGATCGGATCAATAACGAAATAAAAGACCTACGAGATAAATACAAGTATTTGAGTTTTGTATAATGCAATTTATATTTACATTAAAATAATAAATGTGACCATTCTCTGCAACAACGACTCAATAAAAATTGGCGTAGAGTAGCTAGAATTGACTAACTATTTGCAAAGAAAATGTGACATTAAAAGAAATTGGTAAATTCTTCAAAAATAGGCTCTGTTATTAGTTTTCTGAATAACACATATTAGATTGTTAGTATCACAAACTTGTATCCCTCATATTAATTCTTCTAACAATGAATAAAAAAGGAATTCCCGACTCAGAAACGTCACGAAATGAAATAGAACACTGATATACCAATACGTTTCTACTTTAGTGAGATCCAGGCATTCAGGAGTTGTGAGATTTCACTTTTGAAAAGAGGAGATCAATTACAATGAATCATGAATGCCAATTTTTTCCGGATATGCTATAAAAGTTCTTAAAAATAGTATTCTGTGTAGAACAAAAATTTTAGCAATTTAGTTATCCCCCTAAAAACTGACTTTCACTGAATTTTTGGATGCGAGCATATATCAGACATATCCATAGTGGCAATTGTTTTAGAGAGAAACTTCACAAATTCCTAAATTTACACAGAATCTTGGTTATCATATATTTTATACTGTAAGACTGAACGATCTGATAGATTAGCAGCATCAGATTTAGTTTTAACTAGTCATAGCCTTGAAAATAGAAATTTTGCAAATAATCATTATTGGTATTGGAATTGGAGCTCATATTGTACTTGGATTTTATATCACATTGTAAATCTACAAAACATGAACTACCTATCCACATGTTTAAAGAATATGCTCTTGTTATTTTTACTGGTTGATGTGTGCAAACTGGAATTAAATCAAAGGTTCAACTTTAATGTATATAATAAAGAGAATCATTCACACGAAAGAATGAGAAGAAAAATAGAGACAGCCTTCTTGACTTATTTGACGTTCTTCTCTTTGTCTTCGATCATCTTTTCATCAGGAAACAAGTGAGTTGTTCAAGTGTAATTCTTCGACAAGCTTGCGAATTGTGTAATTGGTTCGAAGATTTTTCTCGTGCAATGGCTCCCGTGTTATCGGGCTTGTTCCATTTTGTCGAATCCATTGAACAATTGCTTGTCTTTCGTAAGTATGTCCATCTTCTGCAAGCACAGGATCCTCAAAAAGATCCGATGTGATGGGACATAGCAAAGCATCAGGAATTCGTGTCGTTATTGAGGTAGGTAAATTCTCTAAATTGAAATGAGGATATTATGTAATATGAATTGTGGTTGAAGAGTAGTAACATGTAAATAAGAAAATAATGAGTATAGGACTGCTACGAAGAACATTACCAGATTTTTAACAAAAATTAAATTTATTTATTCGAGCTTTCGATAGGTATCTCCTATCATCATCAGGAATGACAATACAAAAAAGAAAACTATGTTTATATATTAGATATGAAATGAGAGATCAATATGAGTTAATTGGTTGATAATAATAATTCGAATTATTATCATCAATGTCGAAAGGCGTAATTTCGTGGGCAATATAAGTTCTACGAACATAATAATTCGAATTATTATTATCAACCAATTAACTCTTATTGATCTCTCATTTCATATCTAATATATAAACATAGTTTTCTTTTTTGTATTGTCATTCCTGGTGATGATAGGAGATACCTATCGAAAGCTCGAATAAATAAATTTGATTTTTGTTAAAAATCTGGTAATGTTCTTCGTAGCAGTCCTATACTCATTATTTTCTTATATTATGTAATACTTCAAATTTTGTACTAAGTAAGATGTCAAATAGGGTAAGAAATCGAAGACAATTAAAATAAAGCGTCACAAAAAAATCTTTTACTTGCGATAGGCGAAATCGTAATTTTTCACTCTTGGATTCTACGAGGTGGGGAGGACTGGATTGCTTACTCTCCAAACAATCCTACTCAAAATTTTAGTACTTTTAAAAACGAAATATCTGACTTGCCTCTAGGCCAAATATGTGTCAAGCAAGAAAACATAGAATAGAACTTACGTGATTGAGAACGTATTGGGCGTGGAGGTATTGGAGGAGGGTGTAGATGTATTGGAGGAGAGCGTGGAGGCATCGGAGGATGGTGTAGATGTATTGGAGGAGAGCGTGGAGGTATTGGAGGAGGGCGCAGCAAACGATGTGATACATCATGAGGAAGAGGCGATAGCTGACGCCGATGCTGAATATCTCGACGTGAATGAGGTACCCGAGCTCTTGCCGGATTTTGCGGACATGTTATCTACACATGCAACATATTGATTTATAAATAACGTAAGTCAAAGTACTTTTACTTTGTGTTGATGAAGCAAGTCTTGCCTCAAGCTTTCACGACAAAATTCACACACAAGCACCTCTGATCCTGTCTAAATGTAAAAATAAGCATGCTTTAAACGCACGACGTGATTATTGGCATACATACCGCACGATGAGGGTTGTGAGTATTCGAACGTTCTGACTCTGCCTCATCCAATAATTCTAACATCATATTTCCCGCCGCATTTAGCAGTCGCTTAATCATTATATTCTAAAATAATTCTCATTCTCATTAATTTAAGTCATACTATAACAAGATAATAATAAAAGTGGGAGTAGTGTGCAGTACTTTGGATGCAATAGGGATGATCGCCGGTCCATACCAGTAACCCCCGATTCACCGCCTGCGTTGCATCCCTATACAGTATAGATCGGACAGTTGAAAAAAAGACTTTTCAATGGCGACTACGTGTACATAACAGCACATAGTGAAATATGCATACGCCAGAATGAGAGCATAATTCAATAAAAAAAAGTAGGAAGAAAAAATATGTTACAAACCAGCTCACATGTTTATTGGAAAATGTTCTCACCAGTGACAAAACCATACACACAGTATTGGTTGATATGGTGCAATATAGTCGCTACCATGTTCTTAAGATAGCTTTTATCAACATGAATATAATATATTTATGATTTGTTTGAAAACTTTTTATCTATCAATCTGAAGCACATAAAAAATTTCTTCGCTAGCCATCGCTTTACCTATGAGAGACGGAGTCGAACGAGTGAATCATTATTAATAGTCAAGTTCTTATAACTCCCACGACAAAATAAATCCTTCTATATTTCGATATCAGTGCGATTTTTGCTACTCGCTGCACTATTTTTGAAGTTTATTATCAATGGCTTCTTTGAGAAACCAATAGAAATTTTCATTTCGATGAGTCACATTATCGCACCTTGTGTTTAGAAACAATTTTCTTATCTTTTCCAATAAGCACTAGATAATTATGACTGGAGAATATAGGGGTACAATGGATTTACATGGGAAAAATGCTGTCATAACTGGTGCTAGTAGTGGCATCGGTAAAGTGGTAGCATTAACTTTGGCTAAAGAAGGGTAAAATTATTTATATTTAAAATTTCTGCTTTGTTATTCAAATACTTTTAGTTGTAACGTTGTTTTGTTAGCTCGTTCTCGTGATGCTCTGGAAAGTTTAGCTACTGAATGTTCAAAACATGCCGTGAAAGCTCACGTTATTATCTGTGATATGTCATCGAAACAGTCGGTGGAAGATGCATGTAAAGAAATCGGTCAAATATTTCAAAATAAATTAGATATTCTTATAAATAATGCTGGCATATTTGGTGAGAGCGTTTCTTCTATCGAAGAAAAAACACCATCAGGAAAAGATGTGGTAGATATGTGGGATGAAGTCATGACAGTGAATTTATTAAGTTTAATGCGAATGACAGGAAGATGTTTACCAATGATGAAAGAATGTAAACACAGTGCAGTGATTGCTATATCATCCATAGCAGCAACGGTTAGTAAAACAAAAAATAGTGAATATTGAGGCGGATTTTTCAATCAGTTAAATAATTATTTGACATTCCATCGATATAATGTTTTCAGATGACTAATGGGAAACTAGCTCAATATTATGCTAGTAAATGGGGACTTAATGGGTTTCTTGGTTCGATTTATGAAGGTTTGATAGAGAACTATTTGTTTTTTTTATTCTATTAGCGGTTTTCTGTCGTATAGATGTTCGTGAATATGGTATTAAAGTATGTTCTATTATGCCTGGTTTTGTCAATACTCCAATGCTTGATGATGGCAGATACAAATTAAATTTAGATAAATGCGTTCAACCAGAAGATATTGCTGAAGGTGTCCTTTATATTTTACGAACACCCTATAATGTCTGTCCTACAGAAATTAAATATCGACCACAATACACACCATATTTGAAATAAAAAATTGCTTTTACACTGATGAATAACTCTCGTTTTTCTGTTATTTAGCATTTATGTTTAGTTTTAAATCACTAAAATGAAATGATCAATAGATAATCAGAGTGATCTTTTAAAGTTGATATAAGTTTGGATTCTAAATAAATGAAAATTCACAAATATTTTTTCCAGAACTGTTGGAATTAAAAATATTTTCCTTAACACTTTTATTCGGAGATCCTAGATTGTGACATCGATTTTTAAGGAAAAAAAAACAGTTTTATGCGTATAGAATGAACATTCAACGAGAATTTCAGGTTTTCAAATGGATCATTGCTGACTTTTGGGCTGGTTAGAAATCTCCTCTGACCATCAAAAGTGTAGCGCTGGAACAAAAAAGAAAAGATGCTGTTCTATCAATTAAATTTGTGTTAGAATCCATGACTGTATATCATCTATCATTGCTTTTTCTTGGTCCGTTTCAACTTGTTTTTGTGTTTGTTGACAAACATTCCGAATACTTTCACCCGTATACATTTTCCCAACGAGATTATCTTTTAAACGATTGATCATATTCACATACAATGCATCCGAATAGATTTCACATGTATGAATAAGTCCATCTCGTTGAGATATAATTCCAATTGATATAGTTCCCCATGGAAAACGTTTTTCATATTCATGCGTAAAAGAAAATGTTTGACCAAAACGCCATTGTGAGTCACTAAACAGTTCATATGATGCATTCAAGTCAGGTATTAAGTCGAGCGTTTCCCGCGATAGAATTTCAGCTGATTGAATTTTATATTTTGAATATGTTTGCCGATAAGATTCTTCAATAGCTAAACACAGATCTTTATGATTTAGAGATCGATTGACTTCGCATAAATTAATCACACGTGCTTGAACGGAATCAACACCTTTCGATATTAATTTTTCTTTATTTGGATTTAAATATTTTTTCATAGCATTAGTATCGACGTCAGTTATTAATGTGCCATGATGAAGAGCAAATTTATTCGTATTTTGATAAGCAGAACCAGAAAATTTACGTTTATCCGGACCATAAACAAGATCATTTCGACCATGAATATGACCTTCAATATTAAATGACGATTGTAGAGCGTCAAGAAGAATTTCTGAATTGAGATTTTTATCTAATCGATGATGAGCTTGTGAAATAAGAAATGTAAAACATGTATTGCCTAAATCTTGATAGACGGCACCTGCGAAAAACAAGAAGAAATCAGATGAATTTTATTTCCATGAACAGACTATGGGAATCAATTAGAAAGTCGCGCCATCTGAATTAAAGTTCTCATTCAGTACGAAAAACATTAATTTTTACCTTCAACAGGAGTAGACTGCTTAATAGCTATAAATCAAAAGACTTCTAATTTAGTGCTGCCTGATTCTTATGAGTAACACATTGTACTGGATTCTATTTTAAAATTTCTCGTGAAAACTTACCACCACCGGATCGTCGTCGTGCTAATAACACGCCATCATCGTTCATTCGTTCCAGAAAACATTCTTTCTAAAAACTATTAAAAATTTCTTATTCCTATTAGAAGAAATAAAATCTCTACCCAAGGATTTTGATTTCGTCCGATAATAACACATTTATCATTTTGCCAAAGAAATAAAATATGTTCATTGGGTTTAATTGTCTTCGATAGCCATTCTTCTGTTGCTAAATTGAACCAAATATTTGTCGATGATGAATAAATAATTCGATGTATAGGTTCATGTTTCGTAGAATAGGTTCTGCAAAATTTTATCAAAGGAAACCGAAATCGAAAAAGCATAATCTGAAAATAAGAATTATTTATTTTAATTATGGAATGCAGAATAGACATCGAAAAGAAAAATGTAGAGAAAAACTTATTTATTTATTTATTTATAATTGAACCAACCACCACTTGTTAAACTACTCGTATGTTTTAGACTTTCAACTTTAGCTTTTTCTTTGATTGAAAAATGTAAAATAGTCATTAGTGCATTTGCCATTGTATGCTTTACTTGTGTGTCATTTGCAAGTAAATAATGGTAGAAAACATTTTTTATGTAATCAATATTATGCTCATTTTTAGTCAATAATTCGTTTCGTTGTGTACTTAATTTCATATGTTCTAGATCGTCGTTTAATTTTTCAATTGTTGTTTGCAATTGATTGATTTCAAATGAATATTTATTATGCAAATCACGTATTGTTACTTCAAGTTCATGACGTTGTTTTCTTAACGATGAGACTTCTTGTTCACGTAATTGTTGTTCTTGAATAAAATATAGAAGATTATTATTATCTGCATGTATCGGACTGATGGGACCGCCTATCGTCGATGAAGAATGATGATGATGATGAGAAAATAATTCATTTATTATAGTTGGCGCTTCATCAATGGATTGAATATCTGATGATGAATGAGAAGTTTTATTATCGATAATTGCTGTCGGTTGAATTTGTTTTCTCACAGCTTCTAATTCGCGATCTTTTTCACTCAATAAACGTATGGTACGTTCACGTTGCTTGTCTAATTCACTTTCGAGTTCGTTTAATTCTACACGTTTTTTACTCAAGATATGTTCCATTTCTTGACGGTGCTGTTTTTGAATATTACTTAAGCAGGCTTCAAGTTTTTCAACAACTTGTACATGACGATCATTTTCACAATTATATAATGCTTGGCTGTGGGCCAGTTTTTCACGTAATTGATCGATTTGATTGCGCAGATCATCGATTTCTTTTGTAGAATTTGTATCCTTGAAATAAATAGATATTTTAAGTAGTGAACCTCTTTCGATACGATCCTATTAAAATCATGTGTCTATATCGAGAAGATTTTCTGTTTTTTTCTCACTTATAAACGTGAATAGGTGTCAATTTTGGAAGGTAGGCTTTAGTTAGACTTCAAAAACTTTTCCTCAACGAGATATAGATAAATTCAGGGCTCTGATTCCGCTAATAACATATCATTAGCTATGTATCAGAACTCATGAGTATATATTTTATGAATTATTTTTATTGATCGATATGGTTGAATGATTTCTTAATCACGAAAGAAAATTTAGCTTCAAATATTTTTTTTCTGTGTTACAATACCTTAAGACTTTTTGCTTTAAATACAGCAACAGTTTTACTTCGATATTTTTCTAATTCACTTTTAAGTCGATCAATTTCTTCGTAACATTTACTATGCAGGATTTTATTATTTTCTGGAGATAAACTTATTCCATTATTATTTGTTGTTGTTGTTGTGGATGGCGACGACATTTCACGGTCAATGTTAAGAATATCTTTTTAGAAAATATAAAAACATCGTTTGTTCCTTGTTTTCATCACGTTTTTTTACCTTCAATTGTTAAAGATTTACCAAAGCGATCATTTGCAGCTCGTATTAAAACTTTTAATTTAGCAATACGTTGCAATAATGTATCCAAATCTTGAGGATTATCATCATCATTTGTTTGATCAGTAATATCATGTTCAATTGATGACGATGAAGCTTTTGCCAATAGAGCATTTTCAACATCAAGTTGAGCTATTCGTTCTTTTAACCGTTGAATGGACATTTGATCTTGTGCACTGAAAGAAAGATTTACTATTGTTAATGTTTTTTTTCTAAAAAAAAACTCTAGACGAAGTTACCGTTGTTTTTCAATAAGACCAATCTGTTCGGATAATTCAGCAATATGTATTTCATTTGTTGACATTCTTTGGGCATTTTCACTGAGTGTATCAGCTAATTTTTTTTCTAATTGTTGATTTCGTTTAGATTCGACTTGTAATTGCTCAGCATGTTTAATCTACAAAAGCATAAATCATTTGAATATTTTGAGAATAGCCTGTAAGACTCGACAAAACGTAACTTACTTCCATATCTTTTGTTTTTGATGTCAATTGAACAATATTTTCTTTCAAGCGTTTCAATTCTTCGAGATCAATTCTGTTGAAAATATTTTAGAAAAAAACATGAACTGCAAGAGAATTTTTTTCGCGGAAACTTACGAATCTTTTTCTTTGAATTCATTTAATTTTGTCTGATGTTGGTTGTTTAAATTCTGCAATTGTTTTCTTACTGTATCCAATTGACTTTCAAGAGTCACGACTTTTGCACGACATTCTTCAAACTAATTTCAAAAAGAGATACATATGTTGTTTGTTTGAGATGAAATAAATAATTTACTTGATGTTCCATTGTTTCTGATTTATTACGTTCCGTTGAGAGATTTGTTTGTAATTCACGCATCATAACACCATAATCGGCTGCTTCACGTTCATGATCACGTTGAGATTGGCGTAGTAATTTTTTCAACTGAAATTAAGAATAGTTAATTATTAGCGAATTTATTTTTATAACAACTTCTTTAATTTCATTGTCGTATTTTTCTTTATTGATAATATTTTCTGCTTTTGCTTCTTCGAGTGATTTTTTCAATTCGTCGTTTTCAGCCTAAATATACCACTGAGAAACGTAATGATTACAATAGTTGACGTAATCAAACCCTAATTTTGCGTTTGTCGGATTGAAACATTTGTTCCATACGCTGCTTTTGTTCTGCGAGAATTGAGACATTTTGTTGTAATGTATTAAGTTTTCCTTGAAATATCTGTTGTTCAGATGATGCACGTGTCGTTTCTGCTTCACTACCAGATTCATTGTCCTGGATTTATAACTCCATTAAATTTTCAAGATAAATAAATGTTATTTGATACCTCTTTTGTACTTAAATTTGATTCATTTTCTGAAGCTGCTGCATCTCCAGTTGTGGTTGTGGGTGCTGATGTCGATGATAGTACTCGAACAGTTGATTCGAGTGCATCTTTTTCTTTTTTTAAATTTTTATAAGCAGTAACAACATCTGCAAAATAACAAAATTAGTATTCGTAAAGAATCGAAATGATAGTCACCGACCAGTAAAACGTTTTTCAAGGCGCACTATTTGTGCTTGCTGACTTTCGATTGTTTTTGTTAATTCACTTTTCGATGACATCATGTCTTCATTTTATTGAAATTCTTATCTAAAACTTGAAAAGAAAAATAATTTGCTTGTCGCTTATTGCCTCTGAAGCAAAATCTTCTAATCATGATTTATAACAAGTTTTCATTTAACAATAATTCTGTTTTTTGTGCACGCTGCACAATCCATTCAAATACTTCATTTTTTGTTTTTATTTGATGCAACGAATCATTGGGATAGACCTGAACAGACATAGAAAAAGTGCTGCAAAAACAAAGAAAGCGATATTCTTACAATAACCGGTATGTATTTTAATTTTTTCAATTGATGAGCTTTCGAATAGAATAAACCAAGAGGTCGAAATGATTCATTGGTACATAATTCTTCTTCACTAAGGACCTGAAGTGCGAATCTACAAAAAGAATATTTTTTAATTTCCAAAACAAAATTTTATATAACTTACACTGAACAATCATCTTCTGTGAAAGTAGAAATATTCTTCATTGTTCCATTTGGAATGATTTGTGGTTGTTGTTTAGCATTGAGGCAGATAATAATGTCTGAAAATTTTTATTTTAGAACTTTTTCAAATCTCTGCTATTCTCATTTATATACCTGGACTTTTGAAATGTTTCAATAGAAAAGCGCTTTTTACACAGAGCCGATCAGGTACACATTCTAATAATCGTTGCATTACAATAGAAAAATAAGGTCGTTTTCGTTTTTCTATTTCCCACGAGCCAAATAAATGATGTGGCAATGTTTTAAGATAATTCTACTGAAAATAATATATGAAATCGATTGATTTTGTTTATTTATATAATTTCAAACCTGATCAAGAAGTGATCGTTGTGATGATGCACAAACAATTCTATATGATTGAGAAATAAAGAACAACTTCTCTTTCATTCGTGATTCTAAAAAACAAAAACAAAAAACACGAAGATGATTTACATGGTAAAATTCCACTATCTCTTTTACTGAAAAAATCTTACCGGTCAATCGATTTAAATTCTCCTTGGTAAACAGTTGTTCTAATAAATCCTCTGGAAAACAATTAATCATTGCCAAAGGTGCAAGGACATCAACGAGACGTTCTGATTTGCCATTAAATTGATTCATTTGTTGATGAGTACGAATCAGATCGAGATATTTTAAACTTGTTTTTCGTATATAACCCATGTAAATCAATGTATTCATTATTTGAATAATATCTTTAGCACGATATGATGGCATCGATGAATTCGATTCTAATTCGATTAATTTCCAACAGTTTTCAAAAAATCGATCGGAATAAAAACGAAACATAGAAAAATAAATTCCAATACGCATTGTCATTCGAACGATTTCATAACTCAACAAGTGTAAATTCGGTCGCATATGTTGTTCAAATGATTGATTGAATCGATTTGCTAATGATTCAGCTACAGTTTTTTCTCCATAATTTGATAAGGTTAACATTTTGATAAAATTTTGTTTATCAACTGCAGAGAGATATTTTTTCTTTTCATCATCAATTAAATATTGAGCAATATAATCGAGCAGATTAACATTTTTCAATGATATTTGTAAACGATACATAGCTGAACAAAGGAGACTAAGATCAGTCAATGAAATTGTTTTAATTTGATCTTTAGTTAAACTCAATTCTAAATGGTTAATAAATTTTTGTAATATTTCATTCGGATCTTTTGTTGTAATATCATAATATTTTTGTTGATGAAGAACAAGTAGATTCATAAGTTCAATGAACAGATTAGAATCCAATTTATGATTCGCATTCGATGAAACACATTGAATTAAATGTTTTACTATTAAATTAAGTTTAATGTTATGTTCATAGGCAAAAAAAAGTATATCACGAAGTTGTTCAATCGATATGGTTAGTGATAAGAGCTGTTGTTGATTTGTAGAATTTAAGCTAATTAAATAATTTAGAGCAGACGAAGTTTTTAATATAGATTCAATATGTGTACGAATATGATCTGACATTTGTTCTCGATTATTATTGAATTCCTTAAGGCGACATGCATAAAAATAATCGAACAATTTTTTATCGAAATTTTTTACTATTGATCGATTCTGATTGCTAAGATAACGAACAAAAAACGATGGAAATAAGAACCATCGAGAATGATTAATAATAGAATTTCGAATCATTTATCTAAAACCAAAAGAAGAAAATTTTATCTAAAGATCGAAAAAATGCTATTTCATTTGTGTTTCTAAAATCAAATATTGAATGAGTAAATATTTTCCTAAATATTGAGGGTGCATAATTGTTTGATTGATCATGGAAGGTAGAGAAACATACTATAATTATACAACAATACTATATATTTTTTTCGACAAGGACATAAGCATCGATTTTTTGCTCTAAATACTGTTTTGATAGACGAATTAAAAGCATTCATTTTTAGTTAACAAATAAAAGATTCATTTCAACTTTCAGTGAATTAGAATTAATTAGAATATTGATAAGAGCACAAATTTTATTTTATGATGATTAAGTTAATATTCATATTCTGGTCAATCAATCATAAGGAAAGAAATCTAGTGGACGAAATTTATACTAATAGGATGTTAGTATTACAGAACCATCTATATGAAGAGGGCATACGTGTGACGTGGATGTGTCATAAAATATTATCATCTTATTACCAATTAAACGTAGATGTTTCGCAGCGAAATTATATGAGATGCCTAAGCATTGTTCCCGCATAATTCAAGAGACGACTATTCATTTAAACTTGAAAACTAGTTTTGTTTTGCGATATTTAAAAAAGACGAGAAAAATTTTTAAATTTCTAATTTAAAAAGCAAAATACTCGTAATTCCACACCCAACTGATGTGCGAATAAAGTGATATTGAATATCATCCATGTTTGTTGTTGATTCTTCATCAATCTTTTGTTTGATTTTTTGATCAGCTTCATCAGTGATGCTGGTTTCAAGTTTAATTTTACTAGAAGCTTTGTAAGCACCTTTACACGTGCTTTAATGCTGTTAATACATTATTGTTTTTCCTTCTTTCGTTCTGTTTTGTTATAGGTGTTACATGGCAGTGTATAGCAAATTTGTTGTTTTCTTCTCCTCTGATGAGCTACGATGTCATAGGCTATCGGAGCTGTTGCAAATCTTATTTACAAGTATGTGGAAAATAGGGTCGAAAATATAAACAATATATTTTATTGATGAAATTTCATTCTTGCACTATTTTTGCTTCCGATGCGTCAACGCTTTGTTTGAATAGTTGCCAAATGTATACATCTACATAGTTACTAAAGACATATATATATATATGAGTCAAAAAGATTTATTTTTTCTCTCTTCAAATTAGATTAAACAATCACTAGAAAATGGCGCATGGCATAGCAGATGAAGATCCTACAAAAAAAGAAATCATCGATTCACCAGAGATTCTTGATCAAAAACTTGAGCAACTGGCCGAATGGGTTCGAAATGCTAAGCATTTTATTGTGTTCACAGGTAAATTTAAGAAGTGTTACAGTTAAGTAAATGGATCGAAATATTTTAACCTTTCTTTTTTTATAGGTGCAGGCATATCGACATCTACAGGGTAGGGTATATGACTATTTTTTAGAAATGAATTGAGCATTTGAAATTATTGATAAGTGAACGACTCAAACCAATATGGTGTTTCTTTTGTGTTTAACCAGTATTGCTATTTTCTATTTAGTATTCCTGATTTTCGGTCCAGTATGAATACTATTCTACCAACAGGACCGGGCGTATGGGAACTTCGTGATCATCCAGGTGCTAAACGTTCTCCAAAAGCTTGTACAGTCAGTTTAATAAAAGCAATGCCGTCTGTTACACATATGGCACTTGTCGAATTGGAGCGTCGAAAACTTCTTCATTTTGTTGTTTCCCAAAATATTGATGGCCTTCATCTCAGATCTGGATTACCTTCAACTTCGATAGCCGAACTACATGGTAATTCAAATTTAGAAACATGTAAAAAGTGCCACGCAAAATATTTACGTGATTATCAAACACGAACAGCCAAGAAAGCTCTTGATCATCAAACAACTCGTAAATGTGCCAAATGTCGTGCGACACTGTACGATTCGATTATTAATTTTGGCGAGAATCTTCCTGAACAAGATCTTGAAAACAGTTTTGAACATGCACGAAAAGCCGATGTTTGTCTTGTTTTAGGCTCTTCATTACGAGTAACACCAGCGGCAGATATTCCACAACTAGTCGGTGAAAATGGTGGCAAATTAATTATTGGCAACTTACAACCAACACCATTACTTGAATTGGCCACTCTCAATGTACATTCGTTATGTGACAATCTTATGCAAGGATTGATGGCTAAATTAAATATTCCCATACCTGAATGGGAACTGCATCGCAGAGTACGCATTACAATTAAAAAACAAATAGTTTCAATTATGGGTCTTGATCCTGATCAAGATATTCCCTATACGCTATTCTCCGGGACGAGAATACTAGTTCGGCAAGGTACTGCATCTAAATATCAATCACAACGGGTCATTGGTTCCGATTTCATTGAGCATAGAATAACATTGAACGATAATAGTGGTAAAATGGACGTTTATATTGAATTGAATTGGCAAGGTCATTACAATGAACCCATGTATACAGTTCGAATGCCGTTGAAAGATTCGACAAAAGATTTGCACTTATTCTATAATCCAAAGCGTGGTGTTTGGCGGGAGGAATAAATAATCTATACCTATTTCTTTTCAACACCGTGTTCTTTAATCGGTGTGAAGGTAGATGAAAGTTAAACTACGTCAGCTTTTTATCGCGATTTTTTGTCATGCTGACAAACGTAATAATCATGAATCAATAAAATATCTGATGTATTTTTCTACACATGTACATATCAATATCAAAGAATAGACTAAAATCAAAATATCATGGTTCATTGCTTTCTGCACACACTAAGAAAATACAAGATATATACATCACAGTATAGTTTCTTGTGATCATAGATTCTGTAAGCATTCATATACATGTAGAGGAAAGATTCGTATCGTGTATTTTATTCATAATGAATAAAACGAAGAAGATATCATCAAGTAAGCCTTCTCGTACTCACTAAAGTCAAACATAAACCAGTCTCATCCAGAAGTACGAGTTTAATTAATTTGAATGATATTCATGCTGCAATTAAAGCATCACGAGTGTATGCAGTTCAAAATTGCAGACTCGTTTGGTTGGATTCTATCATCAATGAATCAAATGATGAATTAAAAAATTCACTCAATCTATTACGTCGAATTGTTAATAAAATCGATACATTCACCAGCATAGATCAATGTATTGATTTCCTTACTCAAATAAAAGATGAAAAATTCTTGATGATCGTATCTGGTACACTTGGGCAATCAATAGTACCTTTGATTCATCATATGTCGTCACTTAATTCCATCTATACATTTCGTGAAAATCAATCGAAACATGAACAATGGACAAAAGCCAAGGGTGTAATTTGTCAGCTTGACACTATGTGTGAAATCTTGAGATCTGATACTCAACAATGTGATCGGGACATGATTTTGGTGTGCATACACCGATATGATGATATACGCTGGAATGTTTTATCTACAAGATGTAGAAGTCATCATTAAAATGGGTTATTTTATACGTGTCGTTCATCGACATATTGAAAAAATTCATTCTCTGATATGTCAGGAAGAACAATTTACTGCTTATCATGGTTAAGGCATGCTATTGACAGCCTTTGAAAGAATCAAAAATAGCAAAGATCGCCTGTTAGCATTTAATAACTTTTTATCCGCAAGTCTTGACAATGAAGTTTCTTGATCATTTGTTAAAAGTTCACTTTGGACACCTGATTTAATGGACATACTTTTCCGAATGACGATTACTCCATAGATTCCATCAACGAAGAACGACTATAGCGTATAGATCTTATATTGACAAGTGATAGCGATGAAGAGCTAAAATGTCTTACGGAACACATTGAAAAATTAATGCAATCATCAAATGGACGTCATCGACTTGGTGACTTTGAAAAGCTACAAGAGGAAACAAGTAACGACAATGTCAAAAATCTTGCCTATATATATGGTCAACTTGGTCGTATTAAAAAATGTCAAAGCTCAATATCAAGAAGCACTCCAGTTTTACAAGAAAAATATCTTGGACCAAATCATCTGATTCTGACAACAACCTATAACGACATACGTGATGTCTATGTTAACATGGGAGAATATGCCAATGCACTCGAATCTCGCAAGAAGTCATTAGAAATTCAACAAAAATCCTTGCCACCGAATCATCCAGAATTGGATACAATCTATAACAACATTGGAGAAGTGTACTTACAAGTGGATCAATATTCAAATGCATTGAAATGCTATCAAAAAGCGTTGGAAATTCAACAAAACTCTCTTTCACCAAAACATCCGGAACTTGCCACTACCTATCATAATATTTCTGCAGTACATGATGATATGGGTGAATATTCGAAATCTCTTGATTTTCACACGAAATCACTTGAAATTCGAAAGAAAAGTCTCCCTTTGGATAATCCTGAATTGGTTTCTACCTATGATACTATCGGTGAAGTCTATATTAGAATGAGAGATTATTCAAAAGCACTTGAATTCTATCATAATATTGCGTCAGTGCACGAAGATATGAGATAATATGCAGATGTACTGACGTTTCATGAGATGGCGCTTGATATTCGACGACAATATCTACCACTGAATCATCCATCCAGAGTTTGGTCTTCGTTTTAATCCATACATAACCAGTGCCTCCAAGACCAATATCCATTGATCAGTAATGGGCAGTTAAAAGATAATTTGGAAATGGAATCAGTTATGTAAAAACCAGGATACATTTGAGCTATTTATGTGCGATCTTTTTGATTGGGCAAATAATGAATATTTGTGTTGTTTGACTTAGGAGAATGGTTTAAATCATTCGTTTCAGTCGATATACTCATATCAACAGATGTTGGTTCTCTATGAAATTTAGTTGAATTTGTCTATGAAACAGTCTCATCTTTAAATCTATATTTTACTAAAATATTCTTCGAAAGCTGACTAGGACTATTTTACTTATGTATTCACTCGATATATGCTTACATTTCAGTTCTAGCATGTTTTTGTGGCACAAGTTTGAATACCCATATTTATTTTGTGTCAAGTATTCTCTGCAGTAGCTAAACATACACTAAATGTGTTATGGTATGATACAAATTGTTTATTTTCAGCATGCGAAATTCATTGTTAATAATTTTCTCTGTTGGCATATTTCTCAACTTAAAATTTCACCACTTCGATAGTCGGTGACGTCTACTCTGGTTGTGACACGTGTGAGAGACGACAAATATTGATAAAAAGAAAAACGCCAAGAAAAAGTAATAGTGGTCTTTTTTTCATTCTGAAAACGAAAGAAGTGGATTGTTTATATATTTTGGAAGAAAAGTCCGTAATTAAATCAATTCGTGAGGAAGTCATATTTGAATTATACTGGTATTCCTGTTATCGTGAACCATGAGCAAAGGTATGTTGTTTATAATGTGTAGACGTTGATTACGTCAATAGTTTTTCTTTTCCATTAACAATACACAATACAAATGTAGTGTTCGTTTCTTTTTCTTCTTCCTGCAAAGTTGCTTCAGCTGAAAGTCTTCAAGAAAAGCTCTCGGCTTATGTAAGAGTAATAAGAAATTCAAATTTTACTCTACATTTTATTTGATTTCCTTAATATTAGAGTAGGGTATAAATATTGCCTGGCAGAATTCTATATTCTTTAATGCACGCTATTCGTAACTTTATTGTTTCATTATTTTTTCAATACAAGTCCGTGTCGCTAAAGCCGCTCTAAAACCGTCTGCTAACTGTTCGGTTTACTACAATTAACCGCGGTTATTTCTTACAATCGTACTGACTTATTCGGGTCGAATTTAGGTTGTAGGAAGAATTTATTATAATTTTGTGAAGATTAATTATAAAACGTTTGAACAAAAAAATTAACTCTAGTCCAATGCAGAAAATAATTTTCTATTATTCATAACATACATGTTAGACAAAAACAATTTCTCGTAAAAAACACAACGATATCAGACGTAGCTAAGATCGGTTCGCACAGAAAAAGACATGAAAAAAAGATTTCAGATACCTTATGACATACAAGTGTTACTTGAAGAATAAAAGAAATTGAAAAACGAGGAATAATCAAAGTGTACAAAACTGCTTAAGAAAAATGCTAACTCGAAACATGTCTGTTTCATTAACATGTTCTTCTACTGTTGCTTGTAACGGCGATTCAATTGACGTGATGTTGTTAATACTTGTTCTACTTTTTTAAATTTCATTTCGTCACTTCTGAAGAATACTCTCATGCAAGTTCGGCCATTCCAAGTTTAACATTTCAATATTCAACTGAAATCTCGATCACACAGCTTCTAAATATAACGATATTTAGAGAATTTTCTAAAATCATAAATTTAGTTATCATTGAACCTTTCATAATATAATAACGCTCGTCTTTTATCAGTTCATCTTTGCTATTGGATATTAACTCTTCTTTTGTAAATAACTGATCCATCACTAGCGTTCCAAAATGACCCAATTGAGTTCTAACGCCGTATAATTGAATTAAATCAATACTTTCTCCATTTTGATTTTTATAAATCTAGAAAAGTAAAAACATGAAAAATAAATAATAAAATAAACACAATAAAAGTTACTAATGTAGATTGAAACGACGCATCGATCTCGGATTGAACTTCGCTACCAAAATGAGTACCATTCAAAGGCACATTGATCTAGAAAATATAAAAACTTATTGTTTATAAAAGAAATCAACATATTGATAATTCTTGCTTGGCTTGTTTTTATTAAAGCTCGTTGCATCTTTTTTTGATTGTCAAATAATATATTCATTTTGGTATCTAACTTCTCCATTGATACCAACAGGTGTTTTATATCTCTTGATGATTGATCCACAGATTTTATTACATCTTGATTCAATGACAATGGTGCTTCTAATAGCATTACCATTTCTTTATTTCCACCATTCTCTGATGGAAACAATTTATTACATATTCGCTTAGCAGTTTTTTCACGAGCTGTTGTGCTAAATGAATTTGATAAAGGTCGTTTAGATAGTCGAATATTGTTTTTATCAGTTGCTACTGATATTGATAATGATGAGTTGTCTAAATCAATAACTTCTTCACTTGATTTATCATCATCACTGTCACCTTCACTAAGATCATCATCAAATGTTAATCACTTTCGAGTTTGACGTTCATTCTCTTTATTTTTCAACATATATTGAATTTCACGTAATGCTTGATAAGCAGAAGCACCATTTGCTAAAACAAAACAAAATAATATAGTTGTAACTTACATATCATTTTAAAATATTCGAAAAAATATACGAAGCATTTTTGATATTAATTATTTCATTGGAAATACAATCATTAACTTTCAGTCACAAAATATATATCTGCTTCTGCATGCGTAAAGCATTTAAGTTATCATAGGGACACTTTTTTAAATGATGCTATCAATGATAAACATCAAACAAAAAATGCACTCAATGCCCACGCATTTATATTAAAAATAGTCGTAAGTAACTATGCAAACTAAATATATATATTCATACTTTGTTCAACCGGTAATATCATCTGTATTTTTTTAAAATAACTATTATTGTTAGTTTCCTACTACGAACAGATATTAACCGACGCTTTTCATATAAATAATCACACGTATTGATATCGCTTTAAATTTTCTGAATAATTTTCACTTACGAGGAAAAACATAATGTGCTATCCGATATCTTACTCGTTTCGGCAATGTTTCTCGCATAACTTTGCTATGAACAGCTACATCTGTGGGTGGTGGAGTTCCATAATGTTTGATGTGCCTGAAAAAAACGAAAGCTAAAACATTATTGCAATGAATTTTTGAACTTGCTATCAAGACGAGTGTTAGCCAATGATCGTACTGTTGAGGGTGTACAATCTAAATGAAATAGGAACATTTTTTAAAACCGAAATAAGTAATTAATTTTGAATGATGGCGATTGTCCTTGCGTCTTTGAATATTGTTCATTTTAATTGTTGACGAACCGCTTATTTGAATACTTGAATTTGATGATGATGCTGATGTCATAATTTGTTGTGTTCGTTGTACATTGAATTTGGAGTTACTTTTTAGAGTTTCACAATCAGATTCAAGATCACTATTCATTTGTTTATCTAACCGCTCAGCAGCCGCTTCTACTTCAGTCAAAGAGCCTATAAAAAATCGAAATATTTAAAAGAAACTTCCATTCGCATTTTTATGAAAATTAACAATAAAAGAGTTACCTTCGAACAAACAATAACCAACATAAGTTTTACCACGATCTTTGATAGTCACTGGGCCATTATCATTAGAACCATGAAGATTTGATTTCCTTTTTATTATAAATGTATTGTCAGATTTGAAAAGTACCAATACATATATATTATCATCATTGTTTACACGACGAATTGTCAAACAAGATTTTTCATATGTTCCTCAACGCCATATAAATCGATTCGAGAACAAAGTAAGACCAAATAAAAATAAATCTAGAAAGAGAATAAATATGTAGAATACAAACCCAAACGACTATTGAGCTATATGTTAGAAAACATATTCAATCATGTTCAAAGTTTACTCGAGTTTCAGATATACAGAAAACATCTGGAAATTCTATCGCTACGCATTTGTGACGAAATGCTTCGACTGAAATAATATCATAATCATTTGACAGTTTCACTAATGGATACAAATCATCTAATGTTTGTAATATCTCGGTTGGTAATTCAAAAAAATTTCAGATTCTGTTTTTCGACATACGATATGTTTGGATGAATGCAAAATATTCACTCTCATATTTATAAAACACAACAATATTTGCATAATTAATAACATTACGATAATTTTTATATTTGATGTATGATATTACGAAACTGCAGCATTTAAATCGTTTGTCATACAATGTTGTATGATACGTGGTGAACTGATGCTTGTATCTTTTATAAAATTCCACTTGTATTAAATGGTGATCATTCATTTGAATGAGGTTTACAATTAGTTCACGAGAATTAACAAGTTGTCCATTATTCAGATGAATTTGATTAACACCAGTTGATGATGGAACTTCAAATATTTCATTTTTTACAATATTTTCCATATCGCACCAATATGCGATCTGGTTCGCCAGATGCTTTGTACCGTGAACCTGTTTTTTAATATATCGAATGGACGACTCAAATGTAAATGCCTGAAAAAAGAGGGGTGTGTCTAAGTGGGGATATATTCCAAAGAATAATTATCTCGCGGAACAGAATGACAAGCCACCATGTAATCGTACTTGTGGAGGCAAATGAAGGTGTGCATGTAATGAATAATATTCTAATGATTGATCATAAACTTCAGAAATAGTACGACAATAATAATTTATTAAATGTTCTGCAAAATTGATATCTTCTATTGATTCCGGTGCATGCAAAAGTTTTATGGCAACATAATAAATTGTCCAATGCGATGCATTTAAAATAGGAAGACAAATAATTCCTAGAGTAATTAAGCTGCCTTTTCACAATCTACTATCTTGTGAAAAGAAAAAATATTTATGAAATCGATAACTAACCTATAGGCAAACCAGTGTTGAGTACAAAAAGTCGAAAATGTTTAACTTTCCAGCACTCAACAGTTGAAATCAATTCATTATAAACAACGTGGATATTGTGTGGCACACGAGTGTTGAGTAACATGTTATCCATTTTCATAACTTTTTCTTTATCAATCAGCTGACACCAACGTTTTATTAATGTTTGAACATGCCCGAGGCAAACCAAGTGCACATAATCCAAGGGAATTGATTGAGGATATGCCATAATATCCAATAAGCAAGATAAACCTTTTACACCTTGAACACTTCTTATTCTTTTGCCGATCGAATTTTTTCCTACTTCTTTAGCTGCAGCAATAAATCCATACTGTGAACGTAATTTTAAATCATTGTGATGATATGAATTAGAGACGTGCACAGGACAGGACGGTCCTGCTGTCCTGTCCTGTCCTGGAGGACAGGATGAGACTTAGATTTTTGTCTTGTCCTGCCGCCCACCAGGACCAAAGTAGCTAGCACGACAGGTGAGGACAGGACAAAAAGTCTTGTCCTGTGCAGGTCTCTGATATGTATATCCTACAGAACTACCACTCCATAAGCCTAAAAGAATATTGTTCACAAGTGTAACTGTAAAAAGAAATTTTGTTGCGCGGAACTTTATCCATGATCACTTTTAGAAACGATGATATTGTTCGGATTCACATCTCTTAGAGAACTATACAGATGCTTCATTAACTCGTGTAGCCGCCATATAAATACTTATATCATTAACATAACATACTGGCACATACCTTTTGCCACACAATAATGGCATGCATAGTATCCATTAAACTATGTTGCTTTGGCCGGCGATGGCGTAGTGGTTCTATGCATATGATTATTATTAATCAAACATGTGAAGGTTCAATCCATTCCCCCGGCACGGTGTCTTCGGTGTCAAGGTATACGAAATCGGTAGAATAAACAAACGAAGAACACTACTGCACGCCAATCTCGTTATCACTGGCTCGATTACGATTTTCCTTCTGTCGTTTACGTTTTCAAGTTTCTCTTCCTTGCCATCCTTTCTCTGTTCGTTATCGTGCAGTCTTCTCTTTTGACTGTTGTTTCCGTAAGCGTCCACAAAAATCACAAAAAAGATACATGAATACATGTCACAAATCAATTTAGTGCATAAACCGAAAAAAATATGTTGTTTTCAACAAATAAATATCGTCCAGGCACGTTAGATATAAAAAGTATTGTACGAATAGCAAAATTAAATTCCATACAATCGATAAAGAATAAAGTACCGTCAACATAATAAAACTAGAATTTTCAAAAATCACACTAACGTAAGGAAACCAACCTACCACCACCATCGGATTCAAGCAGATTCATTAAGTATCTTTTTCGTTTCAGTTTGGAGCAACGCAAATCAAAAGGTGAAGTCTAAGGAGCCCTGTGGTAGTGACGACGATTACTCGCCTAGCTCGATGGTGAAGTCACACCCAAAGGCGTCAGGTGAGGCTAATCCATGCAGGCTATAAAGAAATCGAAATTAGCACAACGTGCTTTCAGCGAAATCGGATTCAAGCAGATTCATGAAGTATCTTTTTCGTTTCAGTTTGGAGCAACGCAAATCAAAAGGTGAAGTCTAAGGAACCCTGTGGTAGTGACGACGATTACTCGCCTAGCTCGATGGTGAAGCCACACCCAAACGCGTCAGGTGAGACTTATCGATTCAGGCTGTAGAGAATTCGGAATGTGGGTAATTGCTCAAATGGTTTGGAGGGTCCTTTTGACTGTACATTTTTCATTCTGTAAGGCGTTTGATGGTGGATGAACGGCATTGTTTGACGGGATCGATGTGTATAGAGTAGAAGGTAAGAGGTTGTCATAGGTAGAGGCGAAGGTGAAGATTTTTTTTTCGGAAGACTAGAGTGTGTGATTTTTTGTTAGCTTTTTTCCCTAGACTGAAAGGATAGGATCTGGAAACCGTAATTCACCTGTGTCTGTCTGTAGCAGGCCTCGAAACGGGCCGCGTGGACCGATGGAGCGGTCGGCCTCGGGCAATTCTGTCCGTCTGGTGGGACGGGCTTAGAAAAGGATTTTAGCGGGCGGTGCCACGGAAATATTTGTGTCGGGCTGTCCGACAACGAGTTGAACGTCAATTTTTCTAGAAGCATCAAAAGATGCCACATTTTATTCTGATATTGATGTTAGTGAAGCACTTATCATCAATCGATTTTCACAAATTTTTTGCGCTTTGAAGTTTAAACTAACCTTATATTTTATCAAATAAATTTTAATTACAAGGAGTTTCTTTGCGCTTGTGAAATAAGTCGACGTGGCTGGGTGGGTGCAAAAAATTGCTCGACGGGTAGGGCGGGCCGGTCTAGCACAAACTTAAAACTTTTTTCGGGCTGGGGCGGGCCATTTAAAAAATGGCCCGATTTCGATGCCTGGTCTGCAAGAATGGCTCAAGCGCCTATTTTCATGGCAGAAATTAGCATTTCCGCGGCACAATTCCTCATTTTTCGGAGGCAAGGGCATTGTTACGGCACTAGCCAGGGGTTGATCCATGACAGGTTCTCGTGAAACAGTCCACTCAGGAGTTGGGATCAACCTGGTGGTGAGCTGATCCCGTACGGAACTTTGAGGTAACCATCGGGAATTTTTTTAACCATGTATTTTTGTGACTAGTAGTGGCTTCCCCGCCTTAATGATATTTGACACCTTTAGTTTTCGTCTAATTCTTACCTCAGTTCCACTTATTCCCACCCGGTTTACAGTTCTCTTTGAAAATATTATCACCAGTTGCTAGCACAAACAACCGATTCTCTGTCCGTTGCATGTATTTCTTCTCTTCGGGATTGCCAGTCTAGGGCTTAGTGAATCCACTTGCGTTCTCGATGAACGCTACGTTTAAGATAGATGGGGTTATTAAATTTAATGTTAGCGTGGGTAGTTAAATTATAGGAGCTGGTGAGTATGGGTTTTAGAATTAGAGATGAATGAACGTAGACGCGTGGAGATGTACTTGTGCGATGGACCTTGGTGATCCTTGTGGACCGATGTTACGCAGAAGCCTGAATATTGTGATGCAATCGGAACACTGAAATACGTTGATAGTTGCCTATGATAGTATCTAGTAATCAAATAAAACTGCAAGATAGGAAAATCAGAGAAAAGTCTGTATAATACCCTGGTGTAAGTTCAAATGCGATCCGTTTCAGCTGATCCCCAAGTGCTGAAATACGCACCCCGATGTTCATTATCACGATGCCCTTGTGTAACTAATCGCGCTGGTGAGTACATCATGGAAGATCTTTCTCGGCTTTCCAGAACTCGGTTTACTTTTCATTCATCGTATAACATGATTTTTGTGTAAGGCTACTTTCCAAACAATTTAAAGTATTATTAGGAGTAATGCTTGTAGCTAATGATTTATTCCATTACTGTTTTATATGTATTCATTATAACAAGATACCCTAGTCTCAATCCTTGCCATTCCTTGAGAAATCCTGAAAGGACCATTCAGAATCCTCTGCAATATAGGAATATATTTGACACAATGCACACACATGGTCAGATACACCAGCGAACCTCAAGGAACTATGTACAGATATATGCAGCATTTCCAGTTGAGTTCATTGGGTGCCACTCTACTATCCTTGCTTGGTTGAATTTACTGTTCATATTTTGTATGTAATATTGCCTTGTCATCTGCATTGGCCATATGCTTCATTTTTTTTCTGTTGTGACTACGCATAGTAAACAAGCTTGCTCTCCTTGATTATTGTCGTTCATATTTACATTCTCATTTTCGTATGACTCCTGATCATGTACGTCAACATCTGTTTTTCATGTACTGTAAACGATATGACAGTATGGTATGAAGAAACAGAATAATGTGTAATACTATTACAAAAATACTACCTCTATCAGAAATTGACACAATATATCGGGAAGTGGCAGATGACCAGAGTCAATGACATCAGATAGAAAAAGAGAAAGTGCTCATTTAGTAACGTGCCTCTAACATGTAAAGAAAATAAGCTCAGCTATAGAGCAAAAAAAATAATGTTAAGACCAGAGAATACATCCTATTCTGCAATATTGAACATTTCGGAGCAAATTCCGCGCACGGAACCAATTCCATCTAATTCTTGCAATTCCATCTGTCATTTCCAACACAATTACGAGCCGGAATTGGATCATCACTACATGGATAAGAGAGTATAGAATAAAAATAGAAGTTGAAATTCCGGAACTGGACTGAATTTCGTGCAGTTCCGGTAATCGGATAAAATTCAGGTTTGACCTTTCGGAATCGATAGAACTGATCCCGAAGGTGAAACTGGTTCCGAAATGTTCAGCATTGCAGAATAGGATGACTGCTCTAAGAAAACCTGAATGACTTTTTGTAACATGTGAATAACAATACTTTATATAAGGATGAACAGAGCTTTATTACCTATCAAGATGAATAACTGTGATTAAGAATGGTTCATATAATGATTATAAAGGTTTCAAGATGCGGCAAAATTTATACAATGATCAACGTTTGTTATTAGAAAAAGTACAATTTCCATATATATCGCTACAACGACTTTCATGTCCAAAATGAATACGCAAAAACAATGTCATTTCTCAATTCAGAGTCGAGTCAGATAAAATAAAATAAATTTTCATTTAGTCCTTTTTGAAACAATCCTTTTTCTCGCATAGCAACAAACATTTCAGTTTTATTTAGGAACAATGTTTTTCATATTCTCAGTAAGAAACAGTCCTTTAAAGATTCCGATGCATCGGTAGTTGTTGATTTTCATCTCAAGGAAAATACTAGAAGCTGCATTCGTTGTTATCAAAAAGAATGAATATTATCCTGATGAAAAAATATTCGTTGAAGCATACTTGAGCCTGCTCGATAATGATACGTCCGTATACATTATTTGTACAGAAAATACAATCTGTAAGATGTATAGCTAAGAGTTCGTATCCATTGCTCGAATTGCGTTGAAAAAAGTGTTTCATAATCGATATTTTTATTGATATCCACCGGTTTGTCATTTTCAGAAAATTATCTCTTCATATGAAGCGAGTTTTTACAGGGTATCTTTTTGTGTACTCAAAAAATAGAGTCAGTACACTATAGAATCGGTCAGTGTGTCCGGTCATTTACACAATCACTTTTGAAAGGAGAGTGAGATCTTGATGAAATTTTCTACACACTATCGTCTCAACAATGTCTCGGTTGAGTTCGAAGGTAAACATGATTCG